ATATAAGACAATTTGGCACTATTTAGTAAAGTTAAATATGTACATATTTATGACACACCAAGTCCACTCCTGGGTATATATGCTAGAACAGTGTTTGGTAACATCCAATACACAGATCCCCAAGAGTCTATGGATAGAATTCAGAAGGTCTGGAAACTTGGATGGAAAAAAAGTTACATCTTTATTGTCATCAACTTCTAACTGAAAATAAGCATTTCCTTTGAATATGAAATATAAGCAATAAATCACAATATTATTAATAGGACCTGTGACTTTGTGGCCAGTAAATAACATAGATATTGTCAAATTCCATTTAGAGTTGTTGCAAATATCTAAAATTATTCTAGCTGTTAAGTCTAACAACAGATCTTGTTATTTAGTACCTTAATAAAGAAGCATGTCTATTTCTTTGTAAAGAATCATTTAGTTGTATATTTTGATGATTCTAGGTCAATATAATCTGCATTCTTTGTAACCCTCGGTATTTGTTAACCATATAAAACTATTAGGGTTCCATAGACTCACAAAATTTCAAAAGGGTTTATGGCACACAAAAAAAGATTAATGGAAACAAGAAATATCTACTTAAAAATTCAAAATATCTTTGTCTACAGTAGTCAAATGGACAAAGATATATACATACAATGAAATTGCATACAGCAGAGAAATGAATTAATTACTGTGACTGCATCAAAACACGTGAATTTTCAAAACCTTATGTCAAAGCTAAAAATCAAGTGACAGAATAATAGTCTGATTCCATTTATAGAAAGTTCTAAAATAGGCAAACCAAAACAATATATTACTTATAGTTATATACAAATGTAGTTGAATTTTTTTTAGAAATGAATGAAATTATTAACATAAAATTTGGAGCCATGGTTACTTGAGGGAGGTTAGGAAGGGTATTGGAGGGAGGAAATGTGACCAGAAAGAAACATGCATTGGATTTCTAAGTTACTGACAATATTTTTCTTAAGCTTGGTGGCAGGAGCACAAGCATTCACTTTATTCTTTTTCTTAAAAGTGTACAGATATATTATTTATATTTTTCACCTATGATACATGTTCCTTGTTACTTACCTCCTTAGATAGGCTACCTCAGTCCACTCCATCTAAAATAATGACCCTGTTGTTTTATATCACCACATAACCCTATTTTAATAACCCAGACTTATCTAGCTTTGGACTACCTGTCCTGTGGACCAATTGTCAGAAATTTAGGATATACACAATAATTTTCAAAATGCCTCCTCTATGTATCTTCCAGGCAGTTTAGGGATTTTCTTTTTTTTAAAATTAATTAATTATATTTTTGCCACAGAAAAACATTTCTTTTTAAATGCTGTTTAGAGGCAATTTTCCACCACAAACCTCAATGTACCACCTAGCAACAGTGAACTTGAGAAAATTCTCTCTCAGAACTTCACCTCTCTGACTTGGAGACAAGGCTTAACTCTCAGAGTTTGTAAGATAATTAAAACCTGTGAGAAAGTGAATATGAGATTGTCTTAGACACCTAGCAGCACTTACCAACGTTTTTCCAAAGTTGCAGTTACAAAATTTAATCTTCACTGTCAAACATTTTCATTTTGAAAATTCTGCCGTTTTGCTGGCTGGCTGCTGCTGATGGAGCTCCGCGATGCAAAGCCACAGAGTAGGAGAAACCTGGGTCCTTAACTCACCACGTGGGAAAGAACGGCCTGCCAATGAGGAGAACGCATTTTAGATTCTTAAAGAAATAAAATCCTATTGTGTTTGCGACGTTATACATTTTGGCATCTATTTGTTACAACAGTTGAGCCTATCCTGTTGAATATATTCTTCAAAAGTTGAATCACGTTCATGACACAGCTGAAGGGATCAGAGCCAGTCCTGAACATAAAAATTAAGTGAATGGCCCCCGACAAAATACTGAGGTATCCAACTCCTTCCCTCCTCAGTTACAGGAAATTGGCAATAAGGCTTATAACACACAGATGGGGCCCTGGAAGTTTCCTCACAGGGTAACTGACTACCAGGGGTGGGCAAACTTTTTGACTCGAGGGCCACAATGGGTTCTTAAACTGGACCGGAGGGCCGGAACAAAAGCATGGATGGAGTGTTTGTGTGAACTAATATAAATTCAAAGTAAACATCATTACATAAAAGGGTACGGTCTTTTTTTTTTTTTTTTAGTTTTATTCGGATCCGGCCCGCGGGCCGTAGTTTGCCCACGGCTGGACTAGACAAAGAGAAATGACTTACAGATGATAACAGACAGGGATATTTCCCCTCAATTAAATAGCCCAGACAACTCTGCAGTGAAGCCCACTATTTCTCAAGCCCTGCCCATATTAAAAGAGTTCTCCAATTTTTGCCTACTTAAAATATGAGCTGATAGCCAAGGATCACAACAAAAATATTTTGAGAAAAACACTAGCATGTAGGCAGAAAACAGATCAAATGACAGAAAACATAATAAAACATAAAAGAAACAAATAATGCAGGAAAAAGACCTACTATAATAATTAAAAAGTAAACACCTATAATTAATGTCCTCAGAGATAGAAATACTGAATCCATGAAACAAAACAGAATATTATTTCTAAAAAGAGAGTGAGCAATAAATATTCTGGAGAAGGGATAAAAAAAAAGATCTTGGGAATAAATATTGTGAAAGCTGAAGTTTAAAATTCAATAGATGAGTTAGAAGATAAAATTGTACTTTACCCCAAAAAACCTAGACCCAAAAAGTAGAGGTGTAAAATAGTAGAGGCACAATAACATGTTGACAAGAAAAAAATCTGGGAAACACAATAAAATTTTCAGGATTGAAAAGTGTCCAAACTAAGAGGGTACACTGAATGAGGAACAATGGATGAAAAAAACAAAAAACAACAAAAAAAACCACAACTTACCCCAATGAACATTATTGTGAAATTGAATTTCAGAACACAGGGACAAAGAGAAAAACATAAAAGGTTCCAAAGGGGGAGAGAGAAACAACTCACATAAAAAGAAGAGGATTCAGAATGGCACAAACGTATAACTAGAAGCTGTAATAAAATGGAGACTTTCCTTTAAAAATACGAGGAAAAATTCTTTTCAATCTAGAATTTTATACCTACCCAAAATATGAATCAAGAGAGTTGGCAGAATAAAACATTTCTAGAGATGCAAGTCTCAAAGGTCTAATTTCCATGTACCCTCCCCTAAAATTAGGAGGAAAAAATGAGAAGAAAAAAAGAGATACAAAAATCCTAGAAAGAGAAGGTCCAACATAAGGCAAATGAGATTCCCCAGGTCAGTGAAAAGAGATGCATCTTAGAGAACTAGACCTCACTGGAGCAAGAAAACAAAGGACTCCCAAAAGAGAACTCTGGATGAAACTGAGAAGCTGATAAATGAATTTAATCATATTGAGAAGAAAAGTATCTTTTGGCAAAAAGAATAATAATAATAATAAAACGTTAATAAATGATAGGTATAAAGATAACAAACAAAAAAGAGGAAGAAAAAGAGTCACCCTCCTATAAAGATCATAGGTCTTAATGACTTAAACTAGAAGATGATTTCTCATGTAAAAAAAAGTCCAGAGGTAGGCAGTCCAAGGCTCCTACTATGGTGCTCCATGGTGTCAGAACCTAGGCTTCTTTTCTCTTGTTGTCCTGCCATTTTCAGCATGTGGCTTCTACTTCACAATTCAAGAATTTAAGCCATTACATCACATCCCAGCAAGCAGAAATAAGAAAGGGACAACGAGGGGAACAAACCCTCCAGCACTGCTTTAAGATCTCTCACAGTAGGTCATAAACAAACTAACACCCCATTGGCCGGGACTTAGTCACATGGATGTATCCAGGTGCAAAGGTTCTATTCCTAATTTTTAAAAACGGGGGTGGAGGGGGCAGAGACAATGGATATTAGGAAATGGTTAGCAGTCTCTACTCCCTCCCTCCTGCACTTTTAATACCATGTTTGCCTAAAGAAAATACATTTAAACACAAAGATCCCCTCTGGGCACCGATGACGCTTTGTCTGTCTTGCTTGGTTAGAAATGAATGCCCATCGACTGGAAAAACTGAAGCGGCCCCTCTGGGAATCACTAATTTTAAGAAGCTTCCCTTCCTCTGAACAGGTGATTCCAAGTCCGCACAAGGCACAGCCCCTACACCCACAGGTGACGGCCGGGCAGGAATGCATTCACCAGCATTGCCTCCCTGTGCGGTAACGACTATCATTTTGTGTTTAGTTACGTATTGTATATAATAATGTGAATAGTAAGAAAAATGTGACCATTAATATAATGTAAATTACCGTAACAATTAACTATACTTAACGGAAGCATCGTCAGGTGTGGGAAAAGAAGTGTATCTGGGGGGAGTGGTAGATAAGCGACCTAATCCTCATTGTCCAAGCAATAGACATATCTACAACTTAAAATACCAAGAAATGCCAGAAAATGCCAGGGGGGAAAGGAGGGGCGGGGGTAGGACAAGCCTTAGAAGAAACGCCTTAGGGTAGCGGTTAACTCTGGGAACCCGTGATAAGGGGCAGCCGGGAGGACAACAGCAAGAGGTCTGCTGTTTTGCTTTCAAGGCTTAAAAACGATTCTATTTCAAACTACGTGTGTTTGAATTTGACTTTTCCGCACCTAGTTCGGTGCCCCCCAATCCTCTGAGCGCCTGAGCAGCACGACCCGGGTCACTCCGAGGAGCCTCCCAGGTGAGCTCGTGGTGGAGGGGCGACAGGAAGGGCGCACTCAGACCTCACGTGCATCCTCCCGGGCAATGACCTCCACGACCTTGAAGGCAACGCGGGACACCCGCACACCCCCCGCGCGAACATGGACGAATTTGCGCGGCTGCGCCGGGGAGGCCAGGTGAAGGGGCCGGGCCGGAGGGCGGGGCCGGAGGGCGGGGCCGGAGGGCGGGGCCGGAGGGCGGGGCCGGAGGGCGGGGCCGGAGGGCGGGGCCGGAGGGCGGGGCCGGAGGGCGGGGCCGGAGGGCGGGGCCGGAGGGCGTCCAGCTAGGACCTCGGCGTTCATTCAGCTGGTGCCGCGTCACCTCCCACGTTCGGGGTCAGGAGGTTTGAGAAAAGAAAGGGCCCCCCACGGTGCGTGGCGACACCCGGGGCGGGAGGCGGAGACCGGAGACCGGAGCCCGGAGCCCGGCGGACGGGGCGGACCGGCCCGCGCACCTCGAGCGCGGGAGGCGGAGCTAAGCCGGCGCGCCCGCCCCGAGCCTGCGCCGCGGGCTGTCCAGTCGTTTCTCCAAGTCGCGAAGCCGCAGGAGGAGGGATCCAGAGAAGAGCACCGGCCGGCTGCCCTCTCCGCGCTGCGCGCCGCGCCATGCTGGTCCTCCGAAGCCGCCTGACCAGGGCTCTGGCCGCGCAGGCCTGGACGCCTCAGGTACCGGGCGCGTGGACGCCCCCCAGCTGCTCCCCGGCGGGAGGGGGAGGGACGTGCGGGTCCCGCGCATGCGGCCCCCGGGCTCCGCGCCCAGACCTGGACGCGCATGCGTGCACCTGCACACCAGCCTGCAGCCCGCTCGGTGCTGCCCTCGTGCTCCAGCTGCTCGGGGTCAGGGACTCCTAGCCGAGGCAGGTTGGGGCAAAGGTAGGTTGACAGTTGCTCGTATGGACAATGACAGTGTGAATAATACTGTGTTTTCAGCATTCACAACTGTCAGCCGACTTTTGCCCCACCCTGTAAAATGAACTCATTCAACCTTAGGTACATAAGGTACGAAGTAGGTTTTTGTGATTCAGCCTTCACTGTCGGGAATTGGTCTAGTCTGTAAATCTAACCAGAGATATTTTTCCTTTTGAGGTTTATACTTTTCTCCTTTCTCTGTGGCCAGGGTTTCACCTAGAGAATGACTTCCTAATGAAGGCTAAAAAAGAGTCATTAATGGCCCCATTCACCCAAGATTAGCAATACAGTCTTTATCCTTCTGATTCTCTGCTAGGGAAGGGCCAATAATTATTGCTTACAACTTTATTCTGAACTCTATTAAATGTCGTCCTGATGTTCTTATAAGTGAACTGGAAATTATTGCTGGCGAAAACGAGATGGAACTTGAAAGATAAGGGCGCCGGAATCACTCACCAATCCTTCCCCAGCATAGTTCTCCTTTCTGACACGCAACAAAAATCACCGCCCCCGGAGGCACACGCACACTGATCTCACTGCTGTTCAACCTTTCACTGGGCTTCTCCTGTTTCGGTTTCTCCTACAGAAGGTACAACATATGTTACAGGACAGAAAGAGTTTGTCCACCCCTTGCTAGCAGAGCCAAGAATTGCAGTGGAGAAATATTGTCTGTTTTATTATGAATGACAGCATCCAGGAGAAAGGGAAGATAATGTTCAAAAGCCCGAACTCCCGGATGGCATGCAGGGCAAACTCACAAGACACCATGGGTTTAGGGGTTCAGCCTCGTGCTGGGAGCTCGTTGGCCAGAAGTGAGGTCAGGCTAATAAGTCAGGTCTTCAGGTCTTGAGGACAGTTCTGAGGTTTTTTCCCAACATCCCTCTGCCTGGTCCAGTGGGAAAGTAGCCAGGGGATGGATGGTTCCACCTTAGGGGTCAGGACCTGAAGCAAAACTTAGGCAAGATGTTGTCTTTAGCCCGCCAGAGGTCTGGACCTTGTGACCATTAGTCAGGGGTGGACTACTGTCTTCTGCTGCCCTACAGGTTGCTAATTAACTGGGAAAGGCTGGGTCTCAGGGGTATAGACAGAGAGAATTAGTTTTAGAGCTAGGATTTAGAACTAAGTGTTATCAAACTCAGTTTCATACTTTTGACCATGTATTTGTCTCCCAATACAAATTCCCTGAGAATCAACTTAAAAAGCAATTGTTACAAATACCCCCACTGTCCCATTTTCCAATATACTTGATCCATAATACTTTTTAAACTATAATATAAGGCAGTTGTTTATTTGTATCCCATTCTCTTGTTGGAATTTAGTTAACATGACACAAAAAGCATGTCATCCAAAAGTAGGAGCAGCTGCAATTGTTTTTGGTGGGAATACCTGCTTTCCAAGGAAGCATAGACAGTTGGGCTATAGGAACGTCACTTTAGTAGACAAAAATGGAATGAACTAATATCGATAATTAGAACTGTAACATTTTACACAAATAAAATACATAGACAATTGTGTGTTTTAACCAAAAATATAGAGTCCCCCCCCCAAAAAAAAAATGTATACACACTTTAACAGCTGATAGTTCAACTGATGTTTCTTTCTCTTCAGATTTAACCCATTGGAATTAATAATTAGTCAAAGTCTGTATACATTTTTGGGGGACACCCTGTATGTCAGAGAAATAAGTGTACTGATTTCATTTGACATACTAGATAGTCAGTATAATTTGTCCAGAATTTAATTTGTACCAAAACTTTTAATAGGTAATGCTGACTCATCAGCTTCAGAAAATTGGCACATAACAACCAAAACTACAGTAGGATGGATTTGTAAATGCAAATACCATTTGCGAGTGTATGCATACACCTGTGCATGTGCACACACATATGAATACACAGAAGATCATTTCTGGCAGACCATGTCCTACCTAAAGTTAAGTTCACTCAGACCTAGGGGTACTAAATTAGAACAAAAAATTATATAGTGAACATGTAACTAATACAAAGAGAACTAATGGTCCTTAAGGGATATTTCCATCAACCTAGTGTCATCGGATAGATGAAATGCCCTTCAGATTCATCTGTAATTAAACCTAATAATGATTCAGACCATTCCGGCCTGTTGTTTTTTTTCCTTTACAGCATTCATAAAGAGTTTTCTGCTAGTAAACACATTTTTACCATGTCTGCCAGCAAATGTGCATATTTTATTAAGTTCATTTAAATGAATAACTGTAACACCTAGAGCATCAACTAGAGATAGAATATTGGATAAATAAGGTAAAACGTGTAAATTTATTAGAATCCTAACTGTAGTTCTTGAATAAAGGACTGACTAAGACTCCAGTGCCTCATTATGATTAACTTTTCATGAAAAGATGGCTAATGGTGGACCCCTACCAGGAAACAGTAGCGAGGTATTCACCATACTCTATTGACATCTCTCTAAACAGGTATCTGTGGAGAGATGAGAACAGAGGTACAAGCATGAACTATGATAAGTCTAATGAGTGTCCCTTGTTTCCAAATTCAGATTTGGTTGTAGCATAATATTATAAGCCCTACCTTCCCCAAATATTTGAATTTGCCATGTCTCTTTTTAGGTGTATTCATCTTTTGCTACGGGACCTAGACAGAGCGATGGAACATTCTATGAATTTCGTACCTATTCTCTTAAGCCTTCAAAGATGAATCAGTTTCTGGAAAATTTTAAGAAAAACGTACACCTTCGGACAGCTCACTCTGAATTGGTTGGATACTGGAGTGTAGAATTTGGAGGCAGAGTGAATAAAGCATTTCATATTTGGAAGTATGGTATGAGTCATCAGCTTAAGTATTCAGTACAGATTTTTCATTCTGTTAGTTGTCACACGTAACTTAGTTCTTGGATCTACGTTACCATAAATACACACAGGTTAAACTTTTAAAAAACCGAACAACACCAAAAAGTCATTGATCACTCCTCCCAGTGCGAGGTATACCTCTGAAAACCTCTTGCTCAAATCCTTATGTTACCATAAATGGCATCTTATATTTCACATCATAAAATTGTGAGCTAGGTTTTAATGCTCAGAAAAAAAATTATACAATGGATTATTATAAAGATGATTTCTGAAAAATTTAAAGCAGTAATTGTAAAAGCACACGTGGGTTAAGATCATAAAAGGAGAGGAGAGTTCTTTTTATTTATCGTTGAAGCTCCAGCTGGATGACAGGATTTTAGTGGAAACAGTTGAGATATTTAGGGGCTTGGGGGTGGGTAGTAGTGGTTGATGTGGATGATAGTTAACTTCTAGGCATCACCCATCTCTGAGATTTAATAATTTGTTATGTTTATGGAACCACTTTTGTTTCATTTGTACACCCCAGGGTTTTAGGGAATTCAGTATTATGCTGCACAGAGTTCTCCCCTATGGAAGCTGACCTGAGAATAGGTTACAGGAATCCCCAGAATGTTCGGTACTCCAGTGTCAAATCTTTGTGACACTGGACTTGATGATATCCAAAGAACTTTTAATAATTTCATTTAGTGTTTGGTCATATAAAGTACTTTATTTAATATGAAAGGTACTCATTCTCTTCTTAACATGGCCATTGGTTAGGGGTTTCCCCTGTTGTAATAGAATAAACCCAATCAAAACACAATTTATGCTTTAATGTGTAAACAAGTAGAACTGTGTTTCATTTAAAAATTAGTTAAGGTCCTGGTTTAACTGACTTAAGCTCTGAGGTAGATGTTATTCCTCACCCACAGCATAAACCATGGAAAACTTTCACTATCCATCTTATGAGGCCCTAATAGTAAACATAGTACTTGGTCCATATGTTAGTAAATACATATACCTGTTTGGGTAACATACAGAAGAGAAATAATACTGGGTAAAACAGTAGGTGACAGTAAGTCAGATAATCAGCATTATTTCTTTGGAAGCTATTTGTTCAAAGAAGATGAAGCTGTAAACTTGCATATTTTTAAAGATTTTTTAAAATTGATTTTTAGAGAGAGAGAGAGAGAAACATCACTGTGAGAGTGAAATATCTATTGACTGCCTCCTGCATGGCCCCACCAGGAACTGAGCCTGCAACCCACGCATGTGCCCTGGCTGGAAATCGAACCAGCCACCTTTTAGTGCACAGGATGATGCACAAATAAGGGAGCCACACCGACCAGGGCTGTAAACTTGCATCTTAATTTCATTTATGTTAAATTTAAGACCTGACCACCATCACCATCACAACCACCAAAGGAAAATAGTATTTTCCTAAACTGGCAATATAAATGTCTCAGTTAAAGTAATAAGAATAGTTCATATAAATTGAGTACTAACCAGCTGCCAAACACTGTTTCAGCTCCTTTCATGTGTTAAATCATTTCTTCCTCACAACCCTATAGGTGTAGAGACAGCATTATCCCCATTTCACAGAGTAAGAAACTCAGATTCAGTAACTTACCGAAGCCATGCAACTACCTACTAAGTGGTAGCGTCTATAAAGTCCACTCTATGGCGTTATTATTTGCTGTTTCCATTTCTACACCCCTTTTAGGCCATGAGAAACTTGGGATAGATGTCCCATCTACTTGGTGTGGGGAGGGGTCCCCAGTGATTTAATGCAGTGTTCCTGTGTGGCCTTGATAAACGTGCTGAATTAAATGAAATCCAAAAAAGGTCTAGATGATTTTAAATAAAACGTTTATATTTTCCTTATTCCTTTTTCTTCCCATAGATAATTTTGCTCATCGCATTGAAGTTCGGAAAGCCTTGGCCAAAGATAAGGAATGGCAAGAACAATTCCTCATTCCAAATTTGGCTCTTATGGATAAACAAGAGAGTGAGATTACGTATCTGGTACCATGGTGCAAATTAGAAAAGCCTCCAAAGGAAGGTAAGTCCATTCCTCCTAGTCACTGAGTTTTGATCTATAAAATACTAAAGACTTGAAACTATAAAAACTAAAGTTTCTTAGGGGGAGAAAACAATAAGCCTTCGTTTTAGAGAGTAATATATTGTGATTATAGATGTGAAATGAATTTGGGCTCTTTGCTTCTCATTAAAACAATGAACATTAGCAGTGTTTTTCCAATTTGGAAAAAAAAGCTTTTAACGTTTTGGTATGAATATAAAAAGTTGACATGGTATAGAGAGTAAAGGTTAAGAAGTTGGGGATTTAGAGCAAACAAGTATAGACAGTGAAGGATAATGTATGAAATTTTGTCATGGTTTAATTTTTTTTTACACAAATTATAGCTACTTAAGTGTATCTTTGCTTATTAGGCTGGCTGGGGGAACGAATTAAAGTGTTAAGCTCTATTACTATATTTTAACTTTTTTGATTTCTTCTTTATTTCTGTTTGAACATAATTACTAAAGATTTGTCTCCTTGCTAATTTAACTTCCTTGCAGACTTTAAGGAAATACTATTTACCTCAACCTAGTTTTAAACAAAAGTCAGATTTTTTAAAAAGCATAAACTAATTTTGTAGTGTCATCTTAGATTACAAGAGATTTGAAAAGTCTTATTTGGCCAGTGGTTGAGCATCAACCTATGAACCAGGAGGTCACAGTTCCATTCCCAGTCAGGGCACATGTCCGGGTTGTGGGCGCCATCCCCAGTGCGGGGCATGCAGTGTGGGGCATGATTCTCTGTCATCATTGATTTTTCTACCTCTCTCTCCCTCCCACTTCCTGTCTGAAATCAATAAAAATATATTTTCAAAGAAAAATCTTATTTGGACCCTTGCCCACTTAGCTTTCAGCATTATCTAAATGAACTAAGTGGCTTCTAGAACAGGGTCAAGTCTTGGTTCTCTTCCCCTGTGTTGTTCATAATTCTTTAATAGCTTTATACTTTTTTCCCTTTTTCTTCTCAAATCTACTTGTCCCCTAGTTCCTTTCTCTCTATCTGCCCCATTCCTCTTACCAGAGGTAAAATGCTTTCCAAGTGTTTACCTGGATATTCAGGAACAAACAACTATCTCCTTCAATTTTTTAGCTTTTTATTTTTCCCTCAAAATCTCAGATACCACTTTGGGTCCATTGTTTGCTTGCTGTTCCTATTAGAAAATGGAATCCTATAGGGGGAAATTACACAAACAAAAAATGTATTTTCTCTCAGAATTGGAGGAAGAAGAAAATATAGGTCAGAAACTACTTTTCTTATTCAGCTCTTACCTGTAAGTGTAGACTTGGGCATCTCAAAATTCCTAATCCTATAACAAATTCTCAATATTTGCTTTATTTTATAGATTAAAAATATTTCAGATAATAGCTTGCTATAGCTTCCCTTTGGTTTTGTATGATAAGCTTAACAACTGACCCTTAAACATGGACAAGGACTTTCTAAACATAGAAGCAAGGAAAAATAATGCAAAGAATTCATAATGTGTCCACATAAACATGTATACACATATGATCTTTCAAGTTTGTATACATATGTTAGCCTCCCACTGGAGCCATACTCACCTGATGAGAAATTTATTGAATATCTTTTGTAAAATACTTATTTTTCTCCCTACTCTAGGAGTCTATGAACTGGTTACTTTTCAGATGAAACCCGGTGGGCCAGCTGTATGGGGTGACACATTTAAAAAGGCAATTAATGCCCACGTCATTCTAGGCTACTCCAAACTAGTTGGAGTTTTCCACACAGAATATGGAGCACTCAACAGAGGTACAGTTGTCCACTTCTTCTATGAAATGGCAGAATGTATTGGTGAACTACTAAGTCGCTTGGGTCAGTTTGTCTTACTTTTTCATTATGGCATATATTTTAATTTTTATTAAGTTTTTAAGTTTTTCTTTTATTTTAAAGGTTGAAAAATCCCCGTTTTACTTCTTCTCTATATAGTATGTTAACACTTTATGAAGCCTGTTTCAAAGCTGAATGTTGTTTTCCATGGTACAGCAGAATGATAAAATTAAAATCTGCAAGGAGCCTCAAGAAAATATCTGTTCTTTTTCTCTTTTTTTCCCCCCTCAAAATATACTTTTATTGATTTTTTAAAAATAACATTAGTTAGGGGTAGAGATAGTGTCTCAGAACAGAAAAAATATTACATATTTTTAAAATACTATAAACATGGACATGACCAAAGGGAGAAACAAACCTTTTCCATACTGTAAAGATAATACTGTTAACACTTTGGTGTTTGTATTCCTGTGTTCATATATATAAGAAGACCAAAATGTAATTTTATTTATATATATTTATGTCAAATGCAATGCATATGCATGATTAATAATGACTTTCTAACACTCTGGTGTGAGGCTATACAGATAACAGAATAGTAATATGCTGAGTATAAGTCAGCACATCATTTCTGGAGGATGTGTATAACACGTACATTGTACACATATAAGTACATATTAGATATACTATTTGGTCCTCTCAATTTGAATTTTGGGAGTCTATTTTGAGGAAATAATCAGATCCAAACTGTTTGGCTTTGAATCCCAGCTCCACCACTTATAACTTAGCAATGTTGAAGGAGTTACTTAACCTCACTGTGTCTTCCATTGCTTATCGATAACAACCTACGACCTAAGATTTTTATGAAGCAGACCTGGCACAGAATAAGCACCCATTAAATGTTAGTCCTCTTTGACAGTGTGAGTATTATAGATACACATGTAGGTGCTATTCAGAGGAGGTTTATATGCCAGCGTTGTCTACAGGAAGGAAACACTGGCAACAGTGGGCATGGCACATACATGCTATGTATCTAAGTACTTATATTACACAGATAGATATGTTCATCATATATATCACTTATCAGTAAGACCCTAATTTTATTTTGCTCACATTTTTTTAAAGAAAAAAAAAAGACTAAACATTAATAGAGGTTTTCTCTGGGCAGTTAAAATTAATGCTCCTTTTTATTTTCTTCTTTGTATCATCCAAATTTTCCATAATAATCACTTTTTTATAATATTGTGGGGTTGTTTTAGAAAAGTAAAATGGAGTAGGAAGGAATGAAAGCTGGGTCCAGTATGGATTGTCAGTGTCTTGAGTTGTATTACTTTACTTCCCCTGTCTAGTTTTCTGTTTCATCTATAGAACCAGCTTGTGAATCAGTTTATAAATGTCTCTCCCAAATCTCTGACCCCCTCTGAAATTGATCACTAACATACTCAGTCTTCCCTTTTTGGTACTCACTATTTTGACTTAAAGAATAAGATTTAACATATCTGATTAACTTTTCTGCATTTCTCCTCTGTAGCCACACCATAGTCTCTAGAATCTTTCTGGTTTCTCTCTGTAGTTCATGTTCTCTGGTGGAATGAGAGTGCGGATAGTCGTGCAGCTGGGAGACATAAGGCTCATGAGGATCCCAGAGTCGTGGTGGCTGGTAAGCCATTTCACTGGGCAGGAGGTACTCTTAGGGCAGATTTGAGTTAGTCAGTAACTTTATCTGCCTTCTTATATGATGTGGTTTTTTTTTCCAGTTCGGGAATGTGTCAATTACCTAGTGTCTCAGCAGAATATGCTTCTGATTCCTACATCGTTTTCACCGTTGAAATAGTTTTCCACTGAAATGCAAAGCATTTCAAGAACTGTCTTAAGATGTGTCTGCTAATGGTACTTAAATGCTCCCAAGGGCATCTCACTCTTACTTGAAGAAGGTGGTAAGTTAATTCGCTATGTCTCTGCATTTCTAAAGCCACCTCTGTTCTTTGTCATTGCCACCTCCAAAAGTAGTTCTGTTCATTGTCCCTCCCCATGGCATTTAGGTAGCTATACTGTAGAAATAGTTGCCACTATTTATGATCTTGATGTTTCATTTTTTTCAAAATATCTTATTCTCTATTTTGATGACCCTTTGCTTTATAGCATTTTCTTATATTTAAATGATGTTTTTACATTTCTGTGCCTGACAGTATTTTAAAATTATTTACATGCAATGTCTGTATTTTCAACATGTCTGTTTTTTCTGAGATTTTAAAAAAATAATTTGCCCAGTAAAATTTATTTTGTGATAGCAAATCGGATTTGTAAGAATATCAGATCAAATGTATTTCTTTACCTTGGGGAAAGTGCAGTATAATTGTGTCATCTGTATCAATTATGGTTTTCACATTAATTGTTAGTCACTCTAATTTGGAAAATAATGTAATTAGTTCTCAATGTTAAAAATAACTTCAGAAGACTTGTTTCATATGCTGAAATGTATACATGTATAGTTAATTTTATTAATTTTGTTCATTTTAGATGGCTAATAAAAATACTTGTGACATCTATTTGTTTTAAAAGAGATTTTGTGGTCATGGAAATACTTGCCCTAATAAAAGCCTACATATCCATTCTGGATTTTTTAATTTGCATTTTATATTTATATTATCTTCTTTGGAGTTTTCACTGTGTTGCTGTAGGGTATTGACACAGTAATATTTACCAATATAATTGTGAATGTTAAGTTCCATGAAACCAACATGATGGTAATCCCAGAGGAGAGTTTCATTAGTATCACCACAGACATGCTATGGATTTCCTTGAAACACGTGAAATTTCCATTTTAGTTGAGTGCCTCTCAGCCTTCTAAAACTAAGTTTGATACTTCTAAATTCCCTTGATTGTCTATATTTACATCTGTATTATTTTACATTTCTAAGATATATTGAAAATAAAATCATAAATTATGAATTAAGGGAAATCTGAACAACAACATTCAGTGTGTACGGTTCCTGATGGAAGAAATGTCTAAAGAATTAAAAAAAACAAGCCCTGGCCCATTTCTTGGTGGTTAGAGCATTGGCCCACAGCCTGAAGGGTCCTGGGTTCGATTCCAGTCAAGGACATGTACCTCAGTTGCAGGCTCTATTCAGGCTCAGTCCTGGGCCCCAGCAGGGGGCGCATGTGGGAGGCAATTAATCGATGTCTTTCTCTCACATTGATTTCTCTCTCTCTCTCTCTCCCCGCCCCCCCCCCCCCCCATTCCACTCTCTGAAAAAATCAATGGAAAAAATTTCCTCAGGTGAGGAGTAACAAAAAATCAGAAAGGTGAGATGTTGCTTAGGTGCAGCTTATCTATATATATAAAAGCCTAAGCAACCATCCAACCATTTGACAGTCTTACCAGTAGCTATGACATGCAATGACCACCAGGGACAGACGCTCCAACCAGTAGCTATGATGCGCACTGACCACCAGGGGGCAGTCACTCAACACAGGAGCTGCTGAGCTGCGGTGACTTAGCAGCTGCGGTTCTTGGGTGACTCACCTGGAACCAGAGAGGAGGGAGCCTGATTCTGGGGTGCATCACCCGAGAACCACCCTCTAGCAATCCAGGACCCCTCGGGGGATGTCGGAGAGCTGGTTTTTGCCCAATCCCTGCAGGCCAGGCTGAGGGACCCCACCGGTGCACGAATCCATGCACCAGGTCTCTAGTACCTTTATAAGAATCCAATCTTGGCTGGGTGGCTCAGTTGGTTGGAGTGTCATCCCATGCACCAGAAGATTGTGGGTTCAATTCCCCATCAGGGCATATACCTAGGTTGCAGGTTCGATCTCCACAACATCAGTGTTTCTTTCTCCCCCTTCCTCTTTAAAAATCAATAAAAACATATCCTTGGGCAAGGATAAAAAAAAAAAAAAAAAGACAGGTATCCAAATAAATGCTTTATAATCCAGCCATTGTCATGTTTTCTGCTTACCTTCAATGCAAGACCCTCTGCAGAGTTGTGTGTATTTTACCATTTTCCCTTCCCTACCGCTTATCTTCCCTGAGCCCAGTCCAGGAAGGCTTACGTCTTTGTCAATCACTGAAACGACTCTCCTGAGGGTCACTGAGGACCTCTGTGTTACCAGATTCAATGGTCTCTCGCTGCCCTTAGCTGGCTCACCTCCTCAGCAGTGCTGGACACAAATGACTGCTTCCTCAAACACTTGGTTCTGAGCATCGGTCTATGGCTTCATACTCAGATTTTCCTCCTCCTCACTGGCCAGTCCCTCTCTTCCCTTTGTTGGCTTCTCTTCTAAATGTGATAGGGTCTCAGAGCTCAAGATACATGCTCATTCAGTCCCAAGACTTAAATACCATACACGTGCTGATGATTCATACATTTTTATCTTTTCCCTTATCATTACTTCTGAGCACCCATCTGAAATACCAGCTGCCTTTTTAACACAACCACCTGCCTTGTTTGGGTCACAAACTAAGTCACATTGATAGTTCTTGTTCCCTCATCCCCTACTTGTAGCCCGTCAGCTCCTGAACATTCCCCTTCCTCCCTGTGTGTTGCTTCCACCCTCCATCATCCTCTTCCTTAGCCTTCCTACTGTCCTTTCTCCCCATACAGCCAGCATTTTCTGAAAACAGATTAGGTCAGTGATGGCGAACCTTTTGAGCTCGGCGTGCCAGCATTTTGAAAAACCCTAACTTAACTCTGGTGCCATGTCACATATAGAAATTCTTTGATATTTGCAACCATAGTAAAACAAAGACTTATATTTTTGATATTTATTTTATACATTTAAATGCCATTTAACAAAGAAAAATCAACCAAAAAAAATGAGTTCGCGTGTCACCTCTGACACGCACGTCATTGGTTCGCCATCACTGGATTAGGTCCAACCACTACCTTCTTTAGAACTCTCCAGTGGCTCCTCATTGCACTAATGATAAAATCCAGATACCTTGGCCTGGCCTGTGAGACTCGAAGCTCCGAGCCCTCACACACACACACACACACACACACACACACACACACACACTGCAGAGACGCTGCTGTTCTCTCTCCCGCTCCCCAACTTGCCAAGCTTTTTCCCACCTATGGATTTGCACCAGGTGTTCTTTCTTCCAGGAATGTTCTTCCTGCCCACCTCCAAATGCTGGCGCCTTCTGCTCCTTGTAATCAGATCTGAACATAAATGTCACTCCTCACACAGGGGCCATCTCTGGTTCCTCTCCATCGTGATCCCATGACCATGTTTCATCATCTTGGTACTTACTGCTGTCTGAACTTATTTTATTTGTCCACACATCCATTATGCATGTGAATATATTTTCTGCACTGAAATTTAAGTTCATTAGAGCAGGAATTCTGTCTTCTTCGACACTGGATTCCGAACCTAGAAAAATATCTGGCACGCAATAGAGGTCCATCAATATTTGCTGAATTATCATAGAATGATGCCATATTGACCAGGATAATTTTAAGTGATACCCAGCTTCACCAAGAAGAACCCTTTGCCGGTTACTAGCCGTATAACTTTGGACAAGTTCCTTATCGTCTGAGCCACAACTTACTCGTATGTCAAATGGTGCTACTTACCTCATAGGGCAGGTATCGAGGATTAAATGAGGTGCCTGACAACACAATAAACACTTGGAAAAGGGGTAGCTAATTTTCTGTTATACTTTTTCATATTTAGTGTATTTATTCGTGTTCCAAAGGTTCCAGATATTTTTAAAATCTGTAAATGTTTATATTGGCTTTTCTCTGGATAAGAGAATGTTTTGGTCAAAACTCATGGGTTACATTTTCGTCTAAATTAACTCTTCATTTTTCAGTAGTTTGTTCCTCTCCCTCCATTGTCATTTTTCACAAAGAAACAGTTTTCTATCGGTTGCATAGAAGTCACTGTAATGTGACCTTGGGGGGGGGGGGGGCGGGAGGCGGGGGGCGGGGGGCGAGGGGGCGGGGGGGGGGGGGCGGGGATACAAGGTGGGAATGCTGATGCTGAGCAGTCAACTGGAGTTTCCATCCGCGCCTTCGCAGAGGACTGTTCAGAAGGGTCACAAATAGAGCCACGACTCCACTGCGCTACCAGGGGCTGTCGGACAGGCGTTCTTCCAGGACCAAGACAAGCAGACATTGTTTCTGACACTTTAATTGCTCATGAACTGTAAAAACTAATCCACACGGCTCATCATAGCACCACACCTTTTACAGGAGAAAGGGTCTCTGATATTAGTCTCAGTGTCCCTTCTCGGCCCACATCCTTCTCCCTCCCCTGCGCACTCGCCCTCCTGGGACACTTGCCAGTGTAGTGTCCCTGTGCTTTGGTTGAGTAAACAAAAGAGCACTGAAGGCTGCCTTTGTAGCTTTTTCAACGCCACATGAAGAAATGAGGTTTTGTTAAATAGGCTTAGCTCTAGAGGGTTTGCAGAGATCACCGCTTCATCACCATGACGCAGAATATGTTTATCAAAAAACCTTTTAAATTTAATCTCAGTGACTTTCTTAACTGAATCGTGAAAGTGCAAAACGCCCTTTTTGAAATTCCCAAGTCGTCCCCTCAGTTCTCTTTTGTGATGAAGAGAACATCCAACCTTTTCTAGAATTTCTACTTTGAATCCAAATTGCTTTAACAGTAGGTGGTGCTCCAAATGCAGAAATAAGTGTGTATAGATCAATAGAACCATCACAGCTTTATTTCTTCATGACTCATTACAACACAGAAATACGCTTTTAATGCTTCATATAAAGTTATAGACAATACAAATGTTTTTCTTTTTTTTCCCCTTTTAATGAAAATGATTTAACTTAGAAATCTATTGTGAAACTTTTGTCTAGTTTTGCAATTCTCAGGTATTCCAGTGCAAAAATAGATCCCATCACAGACAACATAAAGTGCTTGGAATGAAGGGCCGATGATAAAGAAAAAGCACAAAAACATAGCTTCATCCTAGGGTTTCGGAAGGAAGAATAGAATACCTAATCCTATGTAAATAGAAACATTCTATCAAAGGGATGCAACAATTTTAAAGAGAATTAGAGCACTACTCTATATAGTACTATATTATTACTATTAAGTAGTAACAAGGGTACAAATTAATATCTCAATGTCAAAGTGGTTCAATATTATATGACACATGGCTCTTTGGGAAAAAAAAAAACAATTTTCCTGATATATACAACCACACGAAGAAAACATAGACAAATCCCTTTAGTCAATAGTTACTATACAGTGAATGAATGATGTGCAATAATAGCCACAATGCATTGCTTTCAGTACAGATAGTGAAATACAGTAGTTTGAGGTTTGGTTGTTTGTTTTTAACAATGAACTGAGCTGGGCATTTAGGTATAGAGGGCTCTGTTACTGTTTTCTTTTGTATTTTTCATATTCACAGTTGTTCATAAACTTTCCAAGATGTCCAAAAGAAGCAAAAGCAGAAATCTTTGAACACTTGAGAATTTTCTGAAACTCACATAGTTATAGTTCCACAGGGGATATATAAAGATTTTACTTGAGTAAGAGTTGGTAAAAATTTTTACTATATAATTAGGTTTACATAGGAAAGTTTAAAAGGTATCTATTTGGATAACCTAAGAGGTAACAGTATTAACGAAATTGATGGTAATTGTAGATTGTTTCTAGCTTCAGAAGAGATCTTTTCAAATCTATGTTGAAACATTGTTCTTTTGCAAAATGGTTCACAGTGCCTTTTGATGATTTTTAAATATGGCCTTGAAGTCAGAGAAATTAAAGCAAAGAGTTGCTTATGGATTTGATATAGTCGACCATTCAAACATGATTCTGATAAAATAGGAAAACAGAAGTTTGATTCTGAAAATATTACACAAGGAGAAACTAAATTATTCTATGAGTTTTACATCATTATAGATAGCATAAAATACATTGGATGATCTCTAGTATTTGGAAATACGCCTTCATTACTTGTTTATCATTTTAGAAAACAATATTGGCAATCATTTCTGAAAATCACTTTCTTTTCCAATCAACAAGTTATGTGATAACATTCTGTAAATTTTAAAAGGAAAAACTATAAATTAAAAGTAGATCTGAAATCTTACACTCTTTGAGTTAACAAATTTTAGAAAAAAGTGACAGTGAATGATCAATTGAATTTCACCAAACAGTGGTTCCCTCCTATTTTTGTTGTCTCAATACAGATGACATTAAGCATTGGTAAAATAATATTTTTTAAGTATTTACTGCCTAAAAAAATAAGACTGGGTTGGAAAAGTCTGAAATATACTTCATGTGGGGGCATTTGTTGCTTTTATTTTTTTCATGATAGATTAGTGATTGAAGAGATGAAAAATTTGAGATTGTATGAATGAGGTGTCTAAGGTCTTCAAAGCCAATTCTTTGAAGAAGGTACTCAATGTCCTAAGCACAAACTGTCTTGTTCAACAACTTTTAAAACTTGCCGTGTTCTCCCGAAAAATACTCATTGTTCAAGTCTTGTGACCCTCATGACGTTTAAACACTCTTGGCTTTTGCATTGTTGCTATTTTCAGAAAGTGGGCTGCCCCACTGCCTTTCACTGGCCTCCCACGACCACAGCAGAACCACCTATGCGTATTTGTAAACCAGTTAGCTGAATAACATGGCACCGGGGATCTGAGACTTGGTTTCTCCCCACCCCATCTATCCATCCACCCATACTCATTCGGCTGTAACACAGGCTCCAAAAAAAAAAAAAGGAAAGAAAGAAAGAAAGAAACGTGATTAATGAGCTGAGATTACTTTTAAATGATAGTAAAGAAACTTAAATGTAATGTCATGAGATCTCGACCCTCATGCTGTTTTCCAGTCATGAGGCACCAGTCGGGCGGTCACCACAGGCCATATTCTAAGGTGTCAAAAGTAACTGACAGGACTTAAAATTCCAAGTAACATTAAAAGCACGAAGACTTTTGTCAAAATACAACTCCATCTTTTCATACTCTAGAAAAGCCAGAAATACTACTACATTTTTGTCGGACAAGATCTTGAGATGCAGTGTACCGTGTTGGCAGACAGTCAGGACGAGTGGACACAGGCCTGCCCAGGTCCAAACGCACCATCGGCACCATCTCCTCCCTCCCTCACCCTGGCCCCAGCAGCCCCGACGAATTGGGTGCTGGTTCTTACCAGGACCTAAGTACATTTAAGGAGTCCCAGCAAGATGACCCTGGAGACCCATGGCTCCAAGCGAGGGACAATGTAACAATGAAGCCAAGTCTCACTTGTCTGGAGCCACCCGCAATTTGCATGTCACCATCAACCACAGCAGCTCATCAACGAGGGAAGCAGAGCAGGACTTTCCCCCACACGTGGCACCACTTTTGTCACCTGATATTTGGTGATGTCGATAAGACTCCAAGTAGCACAACTTCCACAAAAGTGTGCATGACACACCGTGCACCACTTGGCACTAGCAATTCCGGTGCACTCACTGCCCTCCGTGGAGGTGGCACCGGGAAACCAGTCTCATGGCATGGCACGGTGTAATGAGCGAGGATGTGCATGCATGCCTTCTGATGTGGGCAAATAATCACTGGCCATGATGACTTGACGGATTGTTGATGCAACCCCAGTGAGAATACAAAGGAACAAAAAACAAAAAAACAAAACAAATAAAAAAAACCCAGTATGATTTCAAACCCATATGTCCTCTGGGTTCCATACTAGAGGTTCACATAGACATAAGGTAATACACTAAATTCAAGTCTTTTTCCCTCGAGAGCCATAGGAGACATCGGCTACAAAGGCACTGCCCCTGGCATGGAATTCTGTTTGGATTGCATTGAACTGCATTGCATTGAAGAGGATCAGTACAGTATCCAGTTTACTTCTTCCCACGGAAGCGTCCGGCTCGCTCCTCTGGGCTCCTCACCCGGTGCGAAGGAAGGGCAGTCCCTCCTCTCTTTCAGCCACCCTGCAGGAACAGGAGTCTTCACACATAACTTTCTTTCACTTTCTCATCCTTCAGGAAAGATGTGAGAACTGCAACGTTCACTACTGTCTGGTTTTTGTGTAACGACAGGTCCTTTAAGGGATCGTCGTCACTTTGGTCCTTGGCAAAGTTTACAAATACCTGTCAAGAGAAAGATGGACCCTTATCAATACCCCTCGACTTGCTCTCTCTTTATTTTAGTCGCGTTTTCCCCTCTGGGGACAGCAGGGCAGGTAGGAGAATACAAGACTGCATAAACACATTAACTAGAACACAGCTTGAAAAAGCATTAACCCTTCAAAAATTAAAAACCCTCTACATTGACCCCCAACTCACCAACTGCTCAATCATCTATTTGCTTTGGCTTATACAGGCGTGATGGAAGGGAAGAGGGACAAACACGAACATTGACTGAATACCTACTAAGTGCTAAGATCTGTTTGCTGTTATTTAACTGGGATAAGGCACCCAGGCAAAATGTCTGGCCCAGGGCAGGTACTCAATAAATGGTAGTTACTAAGATGATGATTACAAGCTATTCTAACAACCCTATACAGTAGACAGCATCATCGCCCTTTTCAGATTCTAAGAGGTTTGGTAGGAAACGGCTAGCAATAGAAGCTGGGGAATTCAAACTCATCTAGTCTGCACTGCTCTAGGGCCCAGAATGGGGTGAGGGAGGGAGCAGGACTCCTCTCCCTAGAAAATAAATCTATTGTTGCTCTTCCACGCTTACTTGGTCAAGTGTTGTCTGCGAGACAGAGTAGTCTTCTATGTGGAGGCGCTTCTTGCTCTGGGAGAGGATGCTGAAGATCTTGGCCAGGGACGACAGTGAGGACGGGAGCTGGTACTGCAGCATGTTCCGATGCTTCTCCTTCAGGACGCTGCCCGGGAAGGCCAGCCCGAAGAACTCCTGGACGGGCTTCAGGTCCGGGTTGGACCCTGCTATGCGGACAACTATCGTATACCCATCTCCAAACCTGAGAGCAGAAAAGCAAAGCCCAATGGAGGATCTTCCGGAAACTTATCAAAAGAAGATTTAAAACGAGAGGTCCCTGACAGACCCAGAGTAAGAATCAGAGAGAAGGAACTAGTTGCCACTTACTAAGGACCTGCTCTAGGTGGGGTGCCATGCTGAGGGCCTTAGACACATGGCTTCACTTCATCCTCACCTGCACCTCAAAGCCTGACAGATGAGACACTGACGCCTGGGAGGTAGTCACTCCATTTTCTCCTCCCCCCCCCCCCCGCCCCGCCCCCATACAGTGGTAGGGCCAGAAATTCATCTGTTTTTGACTCCAACTCTCTGCTCTTGCCAGACTGGCATGTAGGTATTTCTCCCTTCCATCTATGATAACAAAGCTGGAAGGGGAATATCCCTTAGGAAACCGACTCTCAGAGAGCTTAAGTAACTTGCCCAAAGTACACAACCAGTAAAGGTGAAGACAGGATGCAGCTCTGTTGGACTTCAAAGCCCTCATTCTTCCCACTACACCATTTTGCTCAATTTGTTTCCCTTTAGTTTAGAGCCACCATTTAAAACACTAACACAAAAGAAAAATAAATACAAGCTTTCTCAGCAGGCGCTACCCCAAAGAACTGATCTTTGTTACCTATTTTTCAGATGTTGGACGCTACCGAGACACCTGAACTTGCCATTGACCATGATTGCCATCCTCGTGCAAAGAGCTTCACATTCCTCCATGCTGTGGGAAAACAGAACCAGGTTTCAGCTTAGAGTGATGTGCCTCTACCCATGCGAACATCACCACGACATCTGGCATTTCAAGAAATGTTCCCAGTGACTGCACTGGGACTTGTTACAAATACACACGAAGACGTAGGAATAACCCTTTTCCTGCAGTGCTCTGTTCAATTGTGGAAACGCTAGAAACAACCCAAATGTCTACAAAAAACAGAACCATTAAATTGGACTACTCTCCAGCTATAAGAAATGACTTGGAATAATATTCACCATATATTGTTGAATGAGAAAGAGCAATATTACATTGAGCTTGCATTTTTGTTTATCAATCACCCACACAGGCACGCACACTTTGTACATAGGTTTGCGTAAGGAAACAGCAAAGATATATTATTGCCCAATGATAGTAACAGTTATCTAACAAGTGATGTAATTCTGACGATAATTGTTTTTGTCTTTGCCTTTCTGTATTTTCTAATTTTTACACAGTGGTCATTTATGTCAATTGGAATTTTTAAAATCACACAATGGAGAAGCCAGGCCAGGCCTTCGCTACGGACCTATGAGAGGTGAGCACCACCGATCTCCCCTCCTTGATGATGCTGAGGGCACAGTTCCACAGGAATCGCCGGGCCTTGGGATCCATGCCAGTGGTCGGTTCGTCCTGTAATTAGAATAAAATAAATCCTATTATTTTATCCTAATAAAATAAACATCAAGGACAGATTTGGTTGTAGACACAGAAGCATCTCTGAAATAGCCTAAATTTTAACTCAACCATTCCAGTTACTTATGGGCGGGCCAAAGAACCAGACCGTACATACAAGAACCAGGTCGTTTTTATAAATGTCTCCCTGAAGGAGGAAGCTCCACCTAAATTTAAGATTATTTTTTTAGAGAGAGAAGAAGGGAGTGAGAGAGAGACATGGATATGAGAGTGGACGCCTACTGCACGCGTCTCACAGGGGATCCCGCTGCAACCTGGGCACATGCCCTGACCAGGCATCATGCTGTGCAACCTTTTGGTGCACAGGACAATGCACAACCAACTGAGCCAGACCGGCCAGGGCTCCCCTTAAATTGGTATGAAATTAAATTCCTCCAAATAAACAGACATGGGAGGAAAGAGCCATTTAGTTTCCATCATCTTTTCATGACTGACAAATATATAGTAAAAATTCTTTTTGTCTGAAATCTCTACTGAAGTCAGTGTAAGGTTTTGGTAAATGAAATTCCTTCTCTCCTCTTTTTCTTCTAGCTCGCTCCAGCTTAGCCCACGTTATTGGACTTGCTAGTCGTCGAGAAACAAATTTCAGGTCCAAATGCCTGGATAACATTAAAGCCTCAACCCAGGCCTCCTCCTACAATAACTTCAATGCTCTTCTCCGTAGAAGATAAAGGGCCCAGGGCCACTGTCCCATCTAGTCTCCTGTTTCCCATGTGTCTGCATGTAGGGAATGAAGGCCCAGGTGCTAGTTGGGGGACTTGAAGCTGTGCCCACACTCTCCATTCTCAGGGGATGAACACATAGTTGGTAAAAAAAAAAAAAAAAAAAAAGAATGTTCCAGCGAAAAGTCAGATCACACAGGCAGCCCCAGCCACACTTGCCAGGGCTCTCTGTGCTCCAGAAACAGGCCCTGGAGCATCTCTCTTGGGGAGCATCGGAGGGCGTGGCAGAGGATGGAACGATGGGGCTCCCCTCTGCTTCCCTGAGGCCGCTCTGCTGTTCCTGGTCAGGGGAGGGGAGCTTGTCACTGGTAAGCCGGTCAGGCAACATCCCTGGACATACAGGGGTTGAGAAAAGGGATGTTTCCGTTCGGGCCAGAATAGTTTTCCATCGAGTCACACTCACCAGAAACACCACAGGAGGCCCGCCGATCAGAGCCATGGCTGTGGAGAGCTTGCGCTTGTTGCCGCCACTGTAGTTGCCGGCATACTTTTCTCCGTACTTCACCAGGCCCAGCTTCCGAATCGCCCACTCACCGACCTGAGCAATAAAAAGCTGCTTGACATCTGTCTGGTTTGGTGACTTTAACCATGTTTGCTTCCACTTCACTGAGTAAGACCAGATTCTATCATCATGATCTGCCACAGAGCCTACAACAGGGAGGAGGGCACTTCCTCCATGCCCTCCAGCATGAGTCTGCCCACAGCTCCCCACCCCCCATCCCCACCCTCACCCCATCCACCCCGCCACCGCAGATTCCCACCCTGAAAGCTGGGGCAAAGAGCCAGCACTGCATCCAGGAAGAAAGACAGCATGAAGCTGAGGGTCATGTGTGAGTCAAACCCACACGGTATATTGTCAGGATGCCAGCCGAGGCAGGCCAGCTTGCTGCTGCCCACAGTACCTTGCCAACTTCCTTCTCTGGGACTCCTCTCAAGAGGGCAAAGAACTCCACGTGCTCTCTCCCAGTCATCAGCTCCGTGATGGCATCGAACTGCGGGCAGTAGCCCATGTTTTGATGTACTTCGTGGATGTTTGATAAGATACTGCAAAGGAGAACAAAACTGGTCAGGTTTGGGGCATTTGGAGATACACTGGTCAGACGATCCTGCCTAATGTTCCTATAAAGTACGCTTGTGTGTGACAGAAATACCAGTGAGCACACCTGCTGTAGGAACAGCCTTTCTGCCCCTAGGATGACAGCCCCTCCTGGCAGTCAGGGTTCCTGCCTCCATCCCGCCCAATCCTTGCACCCGGCTCCCCAATAATCTGTAGGCTCGGTCCCATTTTAGAATTCCTGAATCCATTCCAACCACGGTGCCAACTGTATGACCAATAACCTAGTCACACGCACTTCCATCCCAGACTTGACTCTGTGGTCCAGTCCTCTGTACCAAGTGCCTTGTTCCTCCAAAGTCTCCTTCATTCAGACCCAGAGGAGTCCCAGCAACTCTGGGTGTGACCTCCCTCCGCACTCTGCTGCTCATACATAACTCGGCTACAGCATGCCCCAACCCCTTTGGTCTTGTTCAATATCCAACCAAGGCACCCTCCTGGTTTGTCAGGTGACAGGAAAAAATACACCTGCAGACACACTGTGACATACATTGGAGGGCTGGCAGTGAGGCACTATCAAGCCAATCTCGGGTTAAGAATCCGTGACGTGGGAGAAGTTGTGTCCACATCCAATCTGACAGCTGCACTTCAGCCTCCAGGCAGCCCCTGAGCGTACCCTTTCGGCAGCATTCATTCCTCTCTGCACATAATTAGGACTCCCAGATCCACCCTTTTTCAGAACGATGACTGAGGCGCCCATGGACACTCCCTGGCGCTCACAGCTACACTGCCCAAGCCAGCTCTTCCAACCAGTCCCTGTGATCGCCCTTAGTGTGGGCCACTCATCCCCATCACTGTTATATGCCCCAGGAGCCCGGTGCTAGGAACACGCCCAGGGATATAGGTGTGCAGCCTTACAGCTGCTATTCTAGAATCCTCTTCTCTTTAAACCTCCTTCACTCTACTACTGAAAAACCACTTAGAGACAGAGGAGGAGGTGCATAAGTACATTAAGTTCTTTTTTCTTCTCAATTTTATTGGCCAGTAGCCCCTGTCCATTATTTTCAACTTGTGAGTCATCGCCCATTAGTCGCTTGAGAAATGAACTTACTGGGTCACAACCAGCATTTTTTAATGACATGGTAGAGAGAAGAGTAAGAATTATCAGAGTGTACTGTGAGTAGTAACAGTAGGTATTGTTTTACGAACCTTTATTATGTGCTTGTTTATGCCTTTGTATTTACTGGGTTTAGGTGTAAGATGTATTTGCTAGTATGGATCATGGTCAGAAAAGGTCAAAAGCCACTGCCCTGTACCATATACAAAGCCTAGAAGCCCCACGTATCTCGAGTCCTCCAGGTGACATGGTCTCTGGGCTTCTGAGGTGGAGCTGTACTCCCACTGATCAGACTGCCCAGTGACCGGCACATTCTCAGGTGACAGCCTGACAGTGGCCCCAAAAACTAAGACAACTGTTAGCGAGGGCAAGTGCATACCCTTTTGCCTTGTAGGGATTTTCCCTGAGGAAACAATCATAGATGAGTACAAGGACATACTTCCAGAGTGAAAAGCAGAAACTAATAAATGTCCAACCATAAGAAATCCATTAAATAAAATTCTACATCTTAGAATATGTAACCCTTTGGGAAGCAATTATAATACGCTTATTAACAATGAAAACTAACTTTAAAACTCTAGATACAGTATGATTCAAGTTTATAGTCCATTTATATGTATATATACAAAAGCCTAAGTGTTACAACCAATCGACCAAACAACTGGTCGCTATGATGCGCACTGACCACCAGGGGGCAGATGCTCAATGCAAGAGCCAATCTCTTCTAGCAGGCCAACCTCCCGTGGTCCTTCCCCCGCCCCGATCGGTCGATCACCAGCCAGGCTGAGGGACCCCACCCATGCACGAATTTGTGCACCGGGCTTCTAGTGTATATAAAAAATAGATTTGGGGTGATGGGACTGTTCTAAGCCTGGATTGTGTGACGGTTGCAAAAATCTGCAAATTTACTAAGAACCATGAGTTGTGCTCTTAAAACAAGTAAGCGGTATGATATGGACACAGCACCTGAATAAAGCTGTTAAAGAACAATGAGACGGAAAGGAGAGACAGAGGGATTATCTCTAGGGAGTGGGATTAGGCATGACTCTGAGTTTCTTCTTTACACTTGACTGTATTCCACCATTTTTATAAACTCTATCTATATAGTACTGTTGTGACCATAAAAACCCACACAGGACGTATTTAACTAAGTAATAAAAGTCTTTGGAGCAAAACGCAGACCGGTTCTTTCCTCACCTATTTTTGTTAAGGAAAGCATCTCCTCTGGTAACAGTGCTATCTCCAGTTAACATCTTGAAAGTTGACGTCTTCCCAGCCCCATTAACTCCCAGGAGCCCGAAGCACTGGAAAAGATTAGGTAAACTGCATAACGAATTACGGACACTCTAAAACCAAGTGACCATTACGAAATACGGCCCCCTCAGCTTAGCTTTCATATAGCATGACCCCACCATTCTCAAATTTCAATGAAGAGTCTAATATTCTTTGTCTTAAGAAATCACATGGTCACTTAAACAGGTATTTTATAACGGAATCATTTTACTAGTAAATGTGGGCATATTCTGTAATATTATCTGAGTCCTTAGGTTGAGGCCAAAGTTACGGAGTGAAAAACAGTCATGAAAGCCCACTAGTCAAATTTCACTAATCTGGCTAAAGGGCATAAAAGAACACAAACATGAATGAAACAAAGAAAATATAATTTCAAAAAATCTCTTTGAATTTCATCATCATCTTGAACAGATCACAAAATCACATGTTGGGCATGCATGTTTTTCTTAAACTGCCTGAGATAATCCAAAATCATTCTCTTTTGACATATGGGGTCCTCATCCCCTCAATGACTGATTGCTTCACAGAGACACAAAGTGAGAAGAAGCCTTTAACAGCCACTTTGACCCCTTTGGGGAACTTATACTCTGTTAAAATACTGACGGTATTAACAGGGACAAATACAATGCAGAGAAAGTGCCTGTACCTCGCCAGGAGGAATGCCAACACAAATCCTGTCGACAGCAGGTTTCCTCTTCCTTCTATACACCTGCAAACAAAATGCAAAAGGTCATGAGCCACAGTGATTCACGGCGATCCCAGGCAGCTATGGAAGAGGGAATGGCACATCACGAGATAAAGGCACCGATGAGACTATGTCACATATAAGATGTGCTAAGAGCCTTGGTCTTTGGTCTGTCTGGCTTCTGAATGACTCTAAAGCTCAAAATACAAGTGAATTTCTTTTTATTTTTATTTATTTATTTATTTTTAAAATATATTTTATTGATTTTTTACAGAGAAGAAGGGAGAGAGATAGAGAGTTAGAAACATCGATGAGAGAGAAACATCGATCAGCTGCCTCCTGCACATCTCCCACTGGGGATGTGCCCGCAACCCAGGTACATGTCCTTGACCAGAATCGAACTTGGGACCTTTCAGTCCGCAGGCCGACACTCTATCCAATGAGCCAAACCGGTTTCGGCTCTTTTTATTTTTAATCTAATATTTGTAATCAACCTTTTACAAAACATATTGGTCATTAGTGTCTACATAATACTTCATTTACTTAGTATACAAAGAAATTACACATTTTTAAAAATTAAATTCTACAGCGTAAAAAAAATCTGTAATAGCAACACTGCAAATATTGTACATAATAATAATAAAAAAAAAGTGGACTTTGGGGACTCTAGCACCTAGAGAGGGCGAAATAGACCCTCCTCCTGAGCAATGGAGAAAGAACAGCTTTGTAGACCATGAAACTCAAATCAACCATTCAGTCTCCCTACTTAGCTTTGACTAGGTATACAACATTAGTATGTTTTAGTAATTAATGCATGAATAAGTGTGAAAAATAAATACACTCAAGAATGAGAATGCACATTACAAAGGTATTCTCTAATGCAGAAGGCCCCATGGTGTGTTTTAAATAAAGTTAAGTTGACAGAAGTTGGGTATAGATGTGCATTTTGAGAACATGCTCCTTTTACTAAGCACGTCACCAAGAAGCTAGTTTCCCGCATTAAAGCTGAAACCGTTACAGACAAGCTGTCACAGCCTGTATTCACTGCCTCACCTTGGTCAGCTCCTTGATTTCCAAGATGTCATTCTGGCCTCCCCCGTCAAGAATCCTCTGCCTTTCCCGCCTGACGTCTTCGTCCTCGTCATTCAAAGGGGGAAGCTTTGCATTCACAGGTCTTGGGGGGAGAGTTGAGAAAAGTCAACCTTTCCAGCGATTTTTCAAGAGAAAGATCATTTCTAAAGCAGTCCCTACAAGATCTACGCTCCAGTTCCCAGGACTGGCAGTGTTGGGGGCTCGGGATGTGCACTTTAGGAACACAGTTTGATCATCTGCTCTGAGTTCAATTCAATCTAAACGCCACTGACAAGTATTTCCCGGTGCTTCTTCTCTGTGACCCTCAAACGGGGGGCTCCGAGAGTTCTGAGGAAAAGCTCACCTGGGCCGGATGAAGAATCTGTATTGGATCAGAACAGTGATGAGGAAGAACACCGCCCCCTCCACGGCCATGGCGAAGAGGTTTCGTCCCACCAAGTCCCATGAGAGTGGCGAGACGAAGCGGTTCTCCCCTGATAGACACAACGCAGAGATCCAGTCAGAATGGAAGCACCAGAGACCACGGCCCTTCCTCAAATTCACCCCTCGTCCTGGGAACACCAATGGGTGTCCCCCATGACAAGGAGAAAATACATAAGGGAGTGACCACTGTTCAAGCCTGATTTAGGGGAAGTCTGGGGGAAACATTCTGCGATTCAGTACCGATCAAAGTTTCAGAGCAAAACGTGTATTAGATCTGTAGCATCAAGCATCATCTAAGACATGTAATGTCTCTTTTTTAACGAGATGCCAAAATCCTTTGTAAGAAGGCAACAATCCAGGGTAATTTTTACCATCAGTATTTTAACAGATTATAAGTTCCCCAAAGAAAGATTAGAGAGCACTTTAGAAAGATGCCCCCTCTCAGTAGCATGTAATATAACCTAGTGACTCAATCAAATCACCTGGTTTTATATAAATATTGTTTTAAATTCCTTATACATCTCCTTTGTACCTCCAAATTGGAAAAAAAAAAAAAGTCTCTGTCCTAAATAATATGACCCATCTAACTGACAGGAGCCAGTGGATAAAGAATAGTGATGTAGCCACAGGACAAATACTTCTAAAGACCATAAGGTAGAAAGAGCTGCAGTAATTCCCTTTGTATAGACTACGTGAAAGATAATGTATGGCCACAGCCCCAGACCCATGCGTGTCCTAATGAGCCTGAGTTTGCATCTTTCCTTGGGATTCGCTGCCTGTGTGCCACATTCTCAAGGCTCTGGTTTGACTTTCGCAGTGACTTTGACAATCCCAACCAGTGGCATCAGGCACTGGATTCAAGCTAAAGGCAGTCTTCTCCCTACCTGTGGAATAGCCCTCTCACTTCTCAGGCACAAATGGTCCTGTCACAAGACCCATGCCACAACCAGCTGTGTTGTTTCCAGCCCTGACGGTCGAGGGGAGTCCTGTGCCCCGTCACCAGCCTCGTTCCAAAACAAAGGCCAGAGTCGCAAGGCGCATGCATGCCGCCACCTCTAATAAAGGCCTCCGACTACTGCTGGCACTCACCGAACCTTTCCAGGGCATCAGCCATGGCCTGGTTTTTCACCATGTCAATGAGCCCCCGACCCAGGCAGAAGTGCGGGAAGATCAAGAACACAGACTTCAGGATATCATTGATGTTATTCAGCTTCTAAAAAAAAAAAAATAAGACAGAGGGAGACTGTCATTGGTGGTTTAAACTAAAAGCGTATCAAGGTCAGAGGTATGAGCGTGGAGAAGACATCTGGTTCCCTGAGGTCGAGCTGAGCCTTTGATTTCAGATCCCGGTAACTAGCAGCAGCCGTAGCTGATGATATGCAACTTAATAAAACCTTTGCTCTCTAGAAAATTTGGAATGATCCTATGAGTATGGAGAAATATAAGCAAAGTTGGGAAACATGGTTATGTTTAATCAGAAGCAAATCCACCAAAATATTTGCTTAGCATTTTAAAAGCCAACTGCTCATGTCTGGATCAAGAGTTCAGTTCCCGGATTTTGTGGTCATTTAAACAATTCTTCTTGAACACATTGAGCCAGCACTAGCCAGCTATCAAACAACTGAGTACGTTGCTATGTGCTGAATGCACGTGCTAGGGCCCAGGGGAGGCCAAGGTCAGTAAGAAATAGTCCTTGTTCTGAGGAAGAGTGACAGGAAACAGGAAATTACTACACAGTTGGGTATGTGTTGTATGGAGCATGAACTGAGGGCTCTGGGAGCACCTCCCATTGGGCAGGAAAATAAAGTTCCACATCGGAGCTCAAGCAGGACGAGTCAGTCAGATGCTAGGGGCCTCTGGGACAGAGGAAGGGATTTTAAGCCAGGCCCACAGGGTTTAAGGAGCAACTCAGCTGCGACTGCAGCCTCTTGGGGAAGAGGATGTACCTCTGGAAGGTCCGATGTGCCAAGTTCAAGTGTTTGGACCAAGAGGTGGACCAAGGGGACGACAGGAATGGACAGGGACCCTTCTTTACGGGATCTGTAGCTGGAAGACCTGACACGGTAACCAGTTGAATGTAGGAAATAAACAGAAGCAAAGCACATAAGATGACTCAAACGTCGCCAGCTCGGGGGACTGGGTGGATGGCAACGCCACCCAGTGTGACAGGAAAAGGCAGAGAAGCAGTAGGTTCTAGGGGGAAAGATAATCAGGACATGTCGAGCCTGGGGTATCTGTAAATTATGGAGATGGAGCTCTGCACCAGGCAAGTGAGAATGCAAGACTAGAGTTCCAGGGAGCCTTCGGGGCTAAAGGCACAGAATTGAGAGAGAACAACACACAGCACCGAGAGAGATGCTGGTAAGAGCCTCCGGAAGGAATGGCGCCAGCCAGAGACGGCACCAGAAGTGGAAAGCAAAGACGGAAGGTGAAAAAAGATGGGAAAAGCAACATGTAGGCAGTAGGAGTATAAAAGAACTTGTCGAAGGAAACGGACGGGTTTGATGAGAGAAATGTAAGGAAAAGGAAGCCGAGGAAGAGAGAACCGGATACAGGACAGAGCGGTGGGTGGTGTGATGCCACAGACGTGTGGAGTGGGATCGTGATGAAACTCTGTCCCGGCTCCCGGAGATGCTCAGCCCAGCGCAGCTGCTCTCCCTGCGGAACTCACGTTGTCGGTGAAGAGCTCCAGCACGAAGGTGGCCACGCTGCCGTTGATCCCGATGAAGAGGTTCACGCTGGTGAGGACGACGTAGGCGGTGCTGGGGATCTTGAACACGAAGGAGGCGGGGTACATGAGCGGTGTGATCGACCACCTGGGGAGGCACAGAGACAAATGTCCACTGGGTGCCCCCCGCCTTCCCTCCGACATTGGGCACCGTATACCTCACCCACTGCTGCCCGCCACCCAGGGGCACCTTACCCATACAGCAGGAGCAGGAGGGCTAGCACGGGCAGGTTGGTGGAGGACACGTAGGACTTCTGCTGGAAGCAGATGAAGATGATGATGACCAGCGTGGCAGGGACCACATAGTTGCACTGAAAGTGAAACAAGGAAATCAAGTTCGTCCCTACGTCAAAGATACAGTACAGCCCAAGTGTTCACTATCGTCGGACAAGAAAGGGCAGTTAACATGCTGGAGAATAACTCTGATTTAATAAAGCCGCCTAAACTACTAATCATACACTGAACAATACATTTTGACAAGCATTTACCCTTGGCTGATTTTATAAACTGAATGCCCTTGCTGTCTTTCCAAGAGCTGAGCCAAGGTGTCACGCTCAGTAAACTTACTGAACGATGGATCCCCAGTCAGAGTAATTTCAATTTCCCAGGCAGCAAATAAGCTTCCATTCTTCTTCCCAAAGATGACTGTGTCGGTTTCATCATTAATGCCATGTTACAGTCTGCCCAAGTTCAATCTCACATATAATCTATTTATGAGGTAAGTGCTTCTAATGTGAATGTCAGAATTGCTTCATCACACTGAGGATAATCTTAGAGTCTGTCCTGACAGTGTATCAAGAATTAAAATGCACAAGTAGAGAGCCCTTGAGATATGGCTTCCCCGCATATGTCGTGTCAGTTTGACACAAATAAACTCCTACAAAAATTCTCTAGAAAAATAAAAATAATTTTTTAATGCACAAATAAAGACCTGACCACGAGACAATTGTGAGAATTCTTCGCTGGCAGAACAGAGCACTGGGAGGGATATGAGAGCGGGCTTGTCAGATGCAAGAATTTGCAGCTTCAGACCACAAGGCTCTGCTTCAGTCTCATTCTACTCAATGTGTTTACCAACAACTTAGATGGAGACACGATTAGAGCAAACTTTAGAGGCTTGAAAGCACGGGAGGGACAGATGACACATAGGAAGGAGAGTGACATTCCTGAGTTCAGGACTTGGTCTTTCATCTCTGAAGCTCCTGTGTGTGGTGGAGTCAGACACGCAGTGAGCACTCAGAATGCGTTTACTGAATAAAGTTAATTACTGGATCAAGATAAAAGCAAATGGACACTAAACAAAATGCAGTTTAACAGGGATAAACATAAAGTTTGGACTCAAAAACGTCAACTGCATTGGTACAGAGGGAAAGAGGCCCATTTAATAACACCTGTCAACTAGAGATTTCAGTTCACTACCCAATGGCCACCAAGACAGTGCTACTTCCAAACCCGACGCCCTTGGGTTGTGTAATAAAGTCAGGGATACAGATCAACTCCCTCTAGGCTCATAACCACTCAGACCGCAGCCTGCACACAAGGCTAGTTCTGGGTTTCACTTTTCAAAAGGGACATTAACAATATGGAGCGTGGCCACACAAAGGCAGTCAAATCAAGAATGACAAGTCCGAGAGGCTTGCGCATCATCATCACTCACACGGGTACTGTGCTTTAGAGATTACAAAATGTGTCCTCGTAGATCATCTTATCTGGGGAAGACTTAGGTTCAGTGAAAGTTGTCTTATCTGAGGGGCTATCCGGTGGGAGAAGCATTACGTGTGCTCTGTATGGCTCACAATTAATGGAACTCAGAGGGAGATCTATTTCAACTCCACTTTCTGAGAACTGGAACTTCTTTGAAGACCTCCATATTGGTCTGAACAAAAGCAATGCATTGTAGCTGGCGTGAAAACGTGTTTGCAATAGATGGATACGCTTCAGGTAAAATGTGCCAAGTTTTCAAATGACAGACAGATTTCCTCGTAAGACAAAGAACACCCTGACTCTGGAGGTTCAACCCTATCAGACAGGTTACAGGCATTGGAGTTTGGACTGGCTTCCCCGTCCATGTCTCTTTGACAAGTTCTACATTAGGAATTAGGTGGTAGTGATATTAACTGCCGTCAGAGCGGACAGATTTCCTTTCCAGTGTGGGATGGGCACTGTACTCAATGTTCCTTAAGTACATTGCACTTCATTACAATGCCTCTGTCATTTTCTCTCTCATTCATCTTTAGATGAGCAAGGACATCCTAACGAGAGCCAGGGGCTCTGTCATCCGTGCATGATCCCGCTGGAGATTTACACACAGTGGCACAGCGGTGCCCTTACCATGTCCCAGACAAAATTGGAGAGCCAGTAGATGACGGGCTTCACCCCGCTGATGAACTGCAGGTGCTTCGCCTTGCTGACCCGCTCCTGGATCAGGAACACGACAAAGCTGGCCGGGACGAAGGACATGGCGAAGATAACACAGATGGACACGAGGACATCCACCGATGTGGTCATCCTGGAAAAGAGGCAGTGAGGACATGAGGGGCCACTGATGCAACTGAAGACTCCATCAGAAGGATACATGGACATGGGGACACACACACACACACACACACACACACACACACACACACAAACATCTGAGCATAGCCCGGGGAAAAAATAACCTGCTCACCAAATTTTTTTTTTTTCAGGGCTAACAATTATTATTTTCAAGTAAAAAAGAATAAAACAAAGCAAACCAACCCCCCGCTCCCCCCCCCCCCGCCACCTGACAATTCAAATGCAAAACTGATTCCACTGAAGTTACAAAGAGCCAGTGTCATAATGAACTATTAATGGGAGTCAGAGTGGCCTAATGACCTTATAAGAGCAATGAGTTGTGAATTTTCACTCACAAAGGACAAGTATAGATTGAAAATTAAATAAAGCAGAAATGTTAGTGTGAAACCATTCAAATAACTTCATTTCTGGCTGTAAATAAATTTGAAAACAGTGTGTGGCCTATCAGTCTAACACATCTATCAGATGCTTATAAGAAGAGTGGCCTTATAAGCTCAATAAACAGGGTTTAATATAAATTATACATATAAATGTTATATAAGCTCGGTATAAAGATCCCAGTGACATATATTGATACTTTATACAAGTTAAGCAAAAATAATAACTGTGCCATGCCCCTTATACTGGAAAGGGACCCAACATGTGTTGAATATAAACCAAATGCTAAACTTGGCAACTTACATGAACTGTCTCGTTTAACACCATACATCTAGAACCCAGATCTCCACAATTCCAAAGGCTATATACACTTTGCCTAGTGTGTACTGGCTTTAACCTCGCACACTTACACACAACTCAGGAATTAAAAACACAAGCTGATAAAAGCATGTTTCACCAAGTTTAAAACCAGCGAAAAGACAGTTGAGGATGGGCTTCTGCTTTTTTTATTAAACACTATATTTATGGCGAGTTACAATATTTGGGGGATGTTATTAACAACTTAACTCACATGAATCCACTAAATGTAATGGTTTTTACATAAATGAGTCATTTATTTATCTTTGGCACTTTAATCCCTGCCAGCCAATTCCTAACCTGATCGTATTCTGTCCAGAGCCTGGACCAAACCAGACATATACTAATATAAGTGTTTCCCAATCTGTTACACACAACCAGCGTCAGGGTTCCTTCCTCCATTCCTCCATTACCCTCAACACCCTCTCCTGCCCCCACCTGGTCCATGGAGACATAGCTACTTACAGAGCCACTTCCGAGAGCTGCTGCTTGGTGAGGTTCAGGGGGTGGTTGAAAGCAGTGATCCCGTACTGACTGGGGTTCGCCCCCTTCTGCAGGTTGGCCCGCAGAATGGCGTTGTTGATGACATTCAAGAAAGAGCTGATGGCATGCCACCCCTTGTTATTGAACCACACCTGAAATAAAACACAGAGGTACAAGGTAACGCTCCCAAACCCTGTTCTTGGAGGTGGGTGCACACACACACACACACACACACACACACACGCCTGTAAATTTCAGGAATCCCAGTCATACACCGAGACAAAACATTATGGTCAGAGAATGTGGCGAAGCAGTAAGGGCAACCAGGTATACCAAGCACTGACCGTGTGGCCAGGCACGGTGCCGGCTACCCTCTATGTTTAACTCATTTAATCTTCATCACGGCTTTGAGAGAGCCTGAGTACTGTCTCCACGGTAGAGGTTAGGAAACTGAGGCTTAGAGAGCACAAGTAATCTGGTCAGGGTCACAATGGTTCGCCTGCTGTGTCTGGGGGCAAAGCAAACTCTGAATCACTGCATTTTACGTCCTCGCTGGTGAGGCTACTAGACTGCTCTCTCTGTCGTGCCTACCCCATCAGTGTGCTCAGGAGCTGAACACAGGGTTACTGTGCATCAAGAAGCTACTGAACAAAGGGCTTTACCTTGACGTTGTTTTTCGTGTCCAGTCCTGTCATGAACCTTCCCAAACTGCTGAGAAATCGATTTGAAGAGCTGTCCTGTGGACGACAGAACCTGCCTCAGCTCAGATGGCTCGCAGGAGCAGCAGGACAACCTTAGGACGGGCACCGTGACTACCTTGTTCATTAAAATAAAAGCTGAAGCCACCAGAAATCTAAAGCACCGCTGTTGCCATGAGCCATGAGTCTCGAAGGAACCACCGGCAAGGCTTGTGATTCAAAGTCCCAAGACTCCCACGTCTGTCTCTACCTCAGGGGTGGGGAGTCTTCAAAAATGTTCCCCTGGCGTCATCCTAGGGCCCAGAGCTACCCTCGTGGGGTCTGGTCCTCAAAACAGAGATACAGTCTCAAGGACTATCCCTGCATCTGTGATCCCAGCGTCCCCCATCGTCTGACCCCCTCAATTCTTAATTAAAAATAGGAAACTCCAGGCACAGAGAAATGAAGTGAATGCTTAGTGAGTCCTAACACCCGTTGAACACTTTCAGATCCTAACTGGTCACTGAGTCCCAGCTCAGTGTTGGCTGGCACAAGACCCTAACTACTCAAGACGACTATGTACTCAAGTCTTACACAAGGAGGTGCTCAGTGATCGGATGCCCCTGCCAACTGCTCCCCTGTACCAGCAGCAGCTCTGGGCCCCTTTCTGACATGTCCTGGGAGGGACACCGTACCTTGGCCAGATTCAAGTGTTTCTTTATTTGCCTGATGGCATCGTTAACTTCTTGACTTGGAGGAAGTGCGTGAGAATTGCTGACACCCAGGGAAAAGCCGCCGTACCTGGAAGAACAGCCTGAGGTTAAAACACAGGCAGCACAGGGCACGGGACCCTGGGCACCACGTGTTTCCCGCAGGCGAACTGCTTCTTCAAAGCAGGACCAAGAGGAAGTTACCACTGGACTCCTCTAGTGGATTCCGGCAATCTCTTTCCTTACCCTTAGGGTTCCTGCCCAAGTAGGAAGGGTCTGGGCCTGACTATAGACCAGGGGTGGGCAAACTTTTTGACTCAAGGGCCACAATGGTTCTTAAACTGGACCAGAGGGACGGAAAAAAAGCATGGATGGAGTGTTTGTGTGAACTAATATAAATTCAAAGTAAACACCATTACATAAAAGGGTACGGTCTTTTTTTCTTTTAGTTTTATTCATTTCAAACGGGCCGGATCTGGCCCGCGGGCCGTAGTTTGCCCACGGCTGCTATAGACAGAAGCAGCTCCTCCCACCCTGGTGCTCAGGCCTGGACTTGGGTCTCAAGACAAGCAGATGAGCCCGGCCAGTGTGGCTCAGTGTTGAGCATCGACCTATGAATCAGGAGGTCACTGTTCAATTCCTGGCCAGGGCACATGCCTGGGTTGTGGGCTCTATCCCCAGTAGGGGGCCTGCAGAAGGCAGCGAATCAATGATTCTCATCATTAATGTTTCTATCTCTCTCTCCCTCTCCCTTCCTCTCTGAAATCAATAAATATATATTAAAATATTTTTAAATAAAATAATAATAAAAAAGTCGAGCAGATGGGAAGTCAGGACAAGGAGTGAAGGCACTGACCGAGAGGCCAGAGGTTTACTATAACGAGCCCAGCGGCCTGGGCTTGTTCCTAGCATGAGGACAACTGGAGGCGCCCCAGTCTGCTCTGTTCACAGTTCTGTGGGGCCTGGCCCTCAGGAAAAAGGCAAGGAGAAGTGGAAAGCAGTGTCAAAGAGCCACCTTGTGGGGCAGCCACATAAAGTAGCCCATTGTTTATAAGATGTTAATGAGCTTCAACAACTCTCCCTTCTGCTCTTCCCTGATCCCACCTGTTCCTTCAAATCCCAGAGGGATAGATGGGTTGAAATACAGTGAGAGTATATGGTGTTGATTCATCTTATTTCATCCAAGAGAACCCCTGGGAATCTGGTTTGGGGGCAAAGTGTAGCTGGCGTAGGTTTTCCCCTCACAACATGGTGCTTCCTGTTAAATCGCACCAGAAAAAGCCTCTGTGCCTCCTCGAGGAGATCAGTGTGCCCAGCATTCACATGCATCTGCAGGGGCAGCTGGTGCTGAGTAGCAACACTGAGGGCAACGCCATCCCAAAACTAACAACTTCCCGGGGCCCACGATTCCTGCATCAGAACCACACTCCTGACCGACAGGAGGTCCGGGGAAAGCACAGGAAGAGGTCAACTCACCTAAACTCGTTCACCCAGATCTTGTTCTTTAAGCTGCAGAGACCAGAGACAAACCAAAAGTCAGTTCAGAGCAACACGGATCCTATTCCTGATGACACAAAAGGAGTCAATCTCTACCTGAGGACACAACGAAGGGACGGAAGTAATCCCAGGATCAAGCTGATGGTGCAGGTTTTTGCCGATGGGAAGAAGCCCTAATCGGCATGTCCATTTTTCCTCCCATTCTTAAAATCTTATGTACATGAAAACCATGCCCTGGATTAAACCAATTCAGAAACCATTACATCTTATAGACAAAGATGTAATCAAACTAGAAACGTCTAAAATTCAAAGTCGTACATCAATTAGGGATGACATAGGGAGAGGTTGTGCCTCTTCGTTGGAAACACACAGTAGCTGTCATTCAAGCACACCCTTGTCATTTAGAGCCACTGAGAACTCCGAGAGGCCCAGCTGACCAAAGCCGGGGGAAGGAGCAGCGGGTCCATCAGGGGTGGGAGCATCTAGCCTGCGGGCCATGGAAGCCCACAGAAGCACTTGGTCTGGCCCTATTAAGGCCCTGACCACCAAGTAGCGAGTCAATTAAAAATGTTTAACCAAATATAACAGGCTCATTTTTAAGTGGATAATTTTGGATGGCCCGTGACTGAATGATGTTATAAACATCCAAATGGCCCTTGGCAGAAAGAAGGGTCCCCGCCCCTGAGCTAAGTAGTCAGCGTTAGGCTGCGAGGCCCCAGGAAGCTCCATGGCTCTTCCCCACTCCACGGCCCAGGCTGCCATGCATCCCCACCGTGGGAGGTGTTTGTATATATCATTCAGTCCTCGCAACAACTCATAAGAGCAGCATTGCTTTCACATTGGACATCAAGTGATGCAGCATCAACATTAAAAGGATAACCAGTTAACATTCGTCAAAGAGCTAGGAGGTGGCAGAATTAGAATTTGAATCCCGATTTATTTTCATTCTGGAACCAGGCAAACTCAATCTATGCTTGGTAAGTTGTCAACCTGAATGTTCATAATACTTCTCATCTTGTCTACTTTGAAAGAGCACTCTAAGCTTCCAAGGCAACATCGGGTAAAAATATGATGTCTCCCCCACTACTCGGTCTACTATCTTTAGGTCTTAAATTCCTCTGATCAGTCATGACAGAGCAAGGACTGAGTTTAGCAAAGAATGACCTTTTGGCTATGATCTGCACGTATGTCTTCACCAGGTAATCCGAGATGTTTCTCCCCGTCAGGTTCTGAAGGATGTCCTCCGTGTTCTGCTTTCTCTGTTGTTACAGAAAAACCAAGCACATGTGCTTTTATGGACCAGAATTGAGACAAGAAGCAAATCAAGGACTACATTGACACGTGTCCCTCAGAAACACACCACAAGACCCTGCCCACAATGCCCACATACCCTAAGCCAGCCACCAAAGCCGGATTCATTCTACCCCTGACTCTGGCCGTACACTTAAGGCACTCCAAAAAGTTCCCCAGGAAATTATTCTGGAAACCATAGACTGTACAATCTATTCCTCATAGTCACAAAGGTCTTTACGGAGCAGCATCACTGACTATGCTTGGTGAGCTCTTTGTTCAGTGGTGTCACACAGATGAATAGATTAGCTATTATTTTAGAAAGACGTAACCGGAACCCGCAACCTGGATGCCGATAGGGCAGCGGACAGTTTTCACAAGCAAGCCTCATCCTGAAGCTGTTCTCAGAAAAAAAATAGATCACAACTGCGTCCCATGCTCAGACTCATAGAGAATGTCAGACTCATAGAGAATGTCAGACTCAACAAGACCCTCAGACAGTGATGGGCCAGCCGCCCTAAGGCCAAGCCGGGGAGAAAGCAGGGCCTGTCCTGTGACACCCCCACTCGGAGAGGGCACCGTGCATCTCCCGTAGCCCATTGGTCCAGAGGGTTGTGTTCTGGTTTTAACGCAAACAAGTCTCTTCCAAATAAAGGAACAGGCTAAGCTCACTCAGATATAGGAATAAGGTGGTTCAAGCTTCCTCCCCTCAAAACTCACATGCTATTCCCTGTGACAAGAACGAAGATCAAGACTGAAAGAGACCCTCCTGCTCTGTCACCCCGCCCTTCTGCCCCAGCCCACCCTTCGCCCCTGCCTGCTCAGTCACACCTGGAGAGGGACTCACCTGTGGAGGAGGCAGCCCCCCGGCCCCCAGGGGACACACGGGCAGCATCTTCTTGATTTTCTCGCTGCTGCACTGGCAGGTAGGTGAGGGGTTCTCCATCGTCCAGTTCCCGTTCTGGAAGAGGTCCGTGATGGTCTGGGGAACGGGGGCCGTGGTCCACTCCTCCTCTCCCACCAAGCAGGGCACGTCTCTGCACAGGGAGGACAGCAAGGCCAGGTCACCCAGAGGGCCTGGGTTTCCTGTCACCTCAGGGGCACAGGATCCATCAATCACACCTGCAGACATGCATCGACCCCTCCCCATCTGATTATCTGATCCCTCCAAAGATGTGTAAGCTGTGAGCTCACTTCACAGATATGGACAATGGGATGCAGAGGGCCCAGATGCTCATATACGGAACTCCAGTCGATCCAATCCACCAGCATTCAGTCACTCACCCATGTGTTCACTCCAAAACGCTCAAATGAGCATCAACTCTGTGCCAGACACTCTTCTGCATATTTGAGAGTCTGGAGTGAACAAGACAAAGTCCCTGCCTTCATGGAGTTTATGTTCCCATCGAAGAGTTGGATGATGATTAAATGTCATCTTAAATGGGAAAACATGTAGCAAGGTACGGGAGCATGACTGGTAGGAAAGGAGTTGCATGAAGAGGTGATACACTTTGGCCAGAACATAAAGGCTGGGCCAGGGAGAGATTTGGAGGGACAGAATGTGACAACCAGAAGCAGCAGGAAGCGCAGGTGCAAAGGCCCTGAGGTTCCTGTGGAAGGAACAGCAGGAGGACGGCATGGCTGGAACGTGATAGCCTATGAGACAGAGAAGGAGGCAGGAGCCGGATGACACAGGCCTGGGAAGGGGTCTCAGTTTTATGCCCAATGTGCTGATAATCCGTAGACAATGTCAAGATTCACTTTATGTTTCAAAACAAGTAGAGAATTGGGGGGGAAGGGGGTAGGAAGGCGGGGGGGTGGTTAGAGCGATTGGTACATGGAGAGCTGGGCTGTTCATGCCTGACTTGAGCTCTGAATCACTGCGAGATCATCAACACGTCACCTGCCCTCTCAGGGCTTATTTTCTCCAACAGTAAAATAAAAATATAGAATGACTTGTTTCAATAAGTCACATTTCAACAAGTCATTTCCTATCCCTTCCAGTTCCAAAGTTCTACAATTTAAAGCACAGCCACTGACCAAATGAACGGTTCTGTGGACTGCTCTCTAGCTCTCTGTAAGGTGCCCCAGTGAAATGGAGACTTCCAGGGAAGCCAGGGCTCCTTCCTGAGTTTCCTTCCTAAAACCTGCACACAAGTGGCTGAGGCCCCAGGGAAGTGTCCCCGTCAAACGTCCCTCCGTTCCACTACTTTCTACTGACTGCCCCCAACACACGTCCCATGGTGCTGGGCCTCATGGCGGGGAGCCCTCTGATGTCGGGGCCCTGCCTCTCCTGTGCTGTTGGCGAGACCTCAACCCAGAACTGGCTCCCACGAGCTTCCCAGGCTGGCACTGAGAGCACGCTGCTCAGCTGGCAGGTGCTGCCTCCATCCGCCTGTCACCATCTCCTCTCATTCTTCTATCTCACCTACAAAACTGTCAAGTGCAATCTCCTCAAAAGAATCATGACATCCAGATAGGATGCCTCTCTGTCCTTCTCCACTGTAGTCATCTTCTTCTTTAGGAGCTGATGATATTGGCTGCTAGGATTTACCACCCATTAAGTATTAACAAACATTTAGTAAATATCCAATTAATAAGAGATAACAGGTACACAATCACTAGAAGCTGCTCTAAAACCCTGTAGGCCCAGGGTCTGTATCTGCCCTTTAAAACCTGGGATTGAAGTTAGCCCTTTCCCAGTATTTCTGCACATTCCCACACTCTCCACAACTCCTCAGTTTGTGGCTAACAAGCTTACCTGCAAATTCTACCTGAGCCTGGGAACTTGGAACCACCTCTCCCCTCATTGGGCTCCCAGAAGCTCACCTCTGTCCACTGTCTTTACTCACAACCATCACTGGATGTACCTTCCCCACAGACCTACTTCGTCTATGGGTCTTTAAGAGAGTTTATCTATATACCACCTCTTTTTCTTCAAGGATTTTGAAAGAGAATGCAATAAAAATAGGCAACTCTAAAAGAAGAAAATGTCAACTTTTAAAAAACTCCATCACCTTTTCGGCTGTTAGAGTCAAGAAGCTGATGAGCAAAACTGCAACTCCTACACACTGGCAGCCCCCTGCATTTAGGCACAGGAGGGAGGGCGGGGGGAAAGCTCTGGAGCAGGAAGTATAAAGTGCTATTTACATTAAGTATTCATTCATAAAGCAGCGAACAAGCACCTGCAGTATTTTGCTTTGCAGGCTGTTAGAATATCCCCCTAGTCTGTTAGGTATGTTCCTAGGTGGTCGTATTAGATTACTATGTCAGCTTTTTAAACATTAAAAACAAAACGGCTCAAAGGGCAAACGATGGTGGTCACAGTGTGGCATACAGCGGATAAAAAATGCAGTGCATTCGAGACCAAGCCAGGCGGCAAGCACAGGAAACCAGCGCGGAGGGTGGCGTAGCTGAAGGGCACTCACGGGATAGGGTTCCCCTCCATACAGCGGGTCCCGAAGCCGGGCTCTCGGGTGAGGGCATTCAGGAGCTCCTGGGTGCCCATGTCCTCGGGAGCGTCGTTACTATGGGAACAGAAGAGGCAGCCAGCTCAGCGATTCATTAAAACCATACATTTGAAGGAGGAAGTTTTTTAAAAACAAATGCTTTATTAAGTAATTCCTGTGTGCCAAGCTCTTAAAACAGCAATGAATAAAACAGAGCCCATCCACAAGGAGCTCAGACTCGAGCCATACACTTGATATCACCGTAACATACAGCACTCCAAAGTGGGGCTTGTGTAAAAAACTGTATGTACAGAGGTGTGCGCGCACATGTATATACACACATACTTATACACGTTGACATACATATTTTAGCAAAAAGTAAATGAATTCATTAAGGATCCGTATTTCAAAAATACTTCCACAATTACCCAGGAGGTACAGAGAGCCAGGATATTACTGGAGGCGGACTTTACTGGCTGCATGTTTGCACGGACACTGGGATCACACAAACAGTAATGGGCTCAGGTTACAAACACAAAGACAGTCCACGCTCCACAGCCCTGGGCAATCGGGGTCAGCAGCTGGGAGAGGAAAGAATAAAGTCACCTGCACTAGGCAGGAAGGTGGGGTCACAGAAAGAAAGACCGACTCCCATGTTTACGTATTTTTTCTGTCTTTTTTTTTTTTTTTCAATACAGCGTCTCTTTTACATCACTGAAACAGATCTACTGCTTGACTGCTTCTGAGATCTACCTGTCTACAATTACGAGAGGACTGAAGAAAATCCTTGTGTAAGGAGATGGAGAAATCCCTTGGTCCTTTTGTTTGAAGCACTGGATTGTTATAGAGTAGCTGGTATTTTTGTCCAAAGCACAGACAATAGCTACTATCCACAACTAAAAAGTCTAGGTAGTGAATGCACGCATTGTACTGTGCAAAAAACAAGAGCGTTGACAGTGTCTGGAAGCCCTGTGTTAAACCACAAAATGAAAATCCAGACACAGTATAGCTCGATCCTAGATTATTTTCAAGGGCAGATCATTTACATAAAACGCACGCCTGTTCCTGACAACAGCAGGAGGAAGAGGAAAGGAGAGCAAATGCGGCAGCAGGGGACCGACTGGCTTATTTCTTCAGCCACAGCCTGTTCCACGGTGTGATTCCTGAGCCCACCTCCCCCGGCCCTCCGCAGAGCAGACACCGTGGTTTGCTCGAGCTGTCCTCTCTCCTTGGGCGCAGAAGGCAAACACATACCTGACGAATGTGTACTGTTCGTTGTACATCCAGGGCTGAAGTTCCAGGCTGGGGTACTTGCCAAAGGGTGGCACGATCAAGCTGAACACCAGGGCAATGCAGACAAACACAGCTGGCAGGACAATCTATAACCAGGGGGGTGGGGGGAGCAGAGGGAAGAGAAACCGTAGAAGACAAATGTTAGAAAGGCAGCCATGGGACAAGCCTCCCAGACCAGCCGGCACGCAGGTGAGGAGTGCAAGGCCCATGGCCAGGCTCCACCGAGGCACGGAGTTGGAAGCATGGAGCCTGAACATTAAACCTCTTCCCTCCTGGGCATCCCTGGAAGCTGGAAACACAAGGCCAGAGGCTACGGCCACCTGGCAGAGGCATCAAGCTGAGAGTAAACAGTGGTCATGCGTCGGGGTGACTCAAAACATTGGGTCCTGCCCTCTGCCTCCTGAAAACCTGGGGAAGACCACGCTGGACCATGAGCCCAGCTCAGCTCAGAGGAAGGACCGGGAGCCAGAGACCTGAAGCTGTTCTGTCCCTACAAGTGTATCCATGAGAAGTCACTTCCCCCTCTGGCCTCAGTTTTCTCATTAATAATCTGTAGACTGAGATTAGCTGACCCATTCAGACCCATATTGTGACAATAAATTTAAAAAGCCACTCTCCACATTGTCTCCACTGAAAGGGAACAGCAGCCACTGTCTCCCCCACAGCCTCAAACATATAATTATCTAAATCCTTACTCAACCACCTCAAACTTTACACTCTACCTTCTCTGAAAACGACTTTTACATACTTTAGATAAGTAAACTCTAAGCTCCTTCTACTTATTCCTGAGAAATTTATCCTTAAAAAAGAACTGAAAGATTCAAATAATACCCATGGTTTTAATGTTCTGGGGTTTCAATGCTAAAAATTATCACTGAGTGAGTAATTCCATGGAAAAGTACTGTAAAGAGAATGACTTCATTTAATGATCATTACCACCCTAAGTAGTAGTGTCATTATCACCAATCAACAAACAAGGGCACTGAGGCTGAGAGAGACGGAGAAACCTGCCCGAGTTCACTCAGCAGAACCAGGATTCAAATCCAGGACGGTCTGCTCGATTCTTACTCTACATCACCCACTCAGTCTGCAGGGAAGGGTCTCTGCAGACACCTTCTCTGGAGAGCAATGATGTTATTCCCTCTAACCAAGTGAGTCAGCAAGCTGGCGCTGCCAGGCAGGCAACAGTGTAAGGAGGCTTCTCCATCAGAAGTTTCCGACTGGTTATCTTTCCTATCAGTTTGCAGTTAAGCATCATTTAGAGAAAAACCAAGTTTCCAATCAGTTGATGTGTCAAGTGCATCTGGTCCTATCATTGCTCAAGTTATGAAAAACTCCGTCCTAGTTATGCTCTCCTCTACAATAAATACACACACACAAACACATACAGTAATTACTAATGTGAGGCCCATTCTCAGCACAACTACTATGTCATAGGTACTATTAGTATCCCCATTTTACAGATGAGGAGATTGAGGCACGAAGAACTAACTTGCCAGCAGATACATGAGTGGGGAGAAGCAGCTCTGGGGTGGAAATACAGACAATCTGGCTCCAGCTCCCATCTCACAGCCATGATGCTCTCCTGCCTTCTGGCGTGAGGAAGCCCAAGTCCTGGGCCTGCAACAGCACTGCTCACCTGAGCGAAGAATCCCTTCCGACTCCGCCTGGCAATCAGCAGCCTCTTCCACAGAAGGGCCACGAACTGCTGCTGAGTGAGTTTCCAGCCCTTCACCTGGTAGGAGCCTTTGCCATCCATCCCGCTGAGCAGGTCTGTTTCTCTGGATTCTGCAAGAAGCCAACATGAAGGTCACCTACCATCTGAAGCACTTGGACGTCACCGTGCTCCTTCCTCCCGCACCTGCAGGAACCATCTTGGAGGTTGAGTTTGGAGGGGAAAGTATCTCAGGAGTAAAGGACTTTCACATCCAAGAAAATGTTAGGACTCCCACAGCAGGCTCGGCCTTTTGTTCTCATCTGATGAGAGCAGGAAACGAAGGCGCCCGAGACAGTGAAGAGATGTGTTCACACGTGACTGGGTGTTACAGCCAGTTGTTCAGATGAATCGGGTCATCCCCGATTGCTTACGGAATACTCTGTGAAACGGGCCGTGAACACAGGCTGACACCCTTGAGGACACACAATGGCAATCTGTCTCCCATCTATTAGACTTTTGGTAAAAGGTAGACACAGTCAAGTGACCTAAGTACAGACAGTGTCTGAAGTCAGGGAGAGCAGGAGAGTCACACACTCGCATGAGCAGGGAGAGCCAGACAGGTTTCTGTTCTTAAACATTCCATAGAAATGATTTCCTAACTGTCATCTTACCAGTATCAGCTTGATTTCTTGCCTCCCTTTCTCCATCCCAGTCAAACACACAGGGAGACACACTCATCCAAAAGATCTAAGTCTAGGGCACGGGTGAGTCTAAAAGCAAAATCACCCTTCTGGGTCTTTCAAAATCATCCGCCCATTCAAAGAAGATTTATTCAACAGCTCAACACCCGAGGTGTGCAAGAAACTGGGACTCCACAGAAAAGATACTAAATGGACTCAGAGGATTGATGGGCATCCTGGGAGGAAGACCCCAGCTCAGGGAAGGCAGTGATGAGGGTGGGCTTTCTCCTTCAGGCTGGACGGCATGGGCAACATTGGAAAAGGGAGAGTGGCTTTTCTCATTTTCCCACTTCCCTTGGGACCCTGCAGGCATCTACCATCCTGGCCACCAAAAGATAACCCCAGAGAAGAACACACGAGGGAACACGCGAGTTTCAAGATGTGGAACACAGATCTCGCCCACACGGACCTGGGTCTATGTCGGAATCATTGGGATCGACAGCATCGTCCTCAGTGAAGGGGTGAAGGCAGCTCTGCTTGTCCCCGAAGGCCCGCCGGTTGCGTCTTGCCGGCAAAGTGCCATCTGAAGGCAAAGGGAAGGAATGCCCACACTTTATTTAACTTTTTACAAAATAAACTCTCTGCATCCGTAATGAACTTATACACGAAAGATGCAAAGGGAAAGGCCTAGCCCCAGTGAGCTGAGCAGCCTGCAGGAGGCACAGCCCAGGGTGCAGCCCCCGGAGGGTTACCTGAGGTCTCGGCGTCCACTCCACTCTCTTCAGCCACTTTGAGGAATATCTGAAAAGTAAGAGAAATTGAGACTATTACAGGCTGCATGTGATGACGGCAGCCACCACCGCTGTGATGATTACATCATCGAATGGTATGCTAGGCCCTAAACACAGGAAGGAGAAGCTTCGCTTATTAATGCCACTTGGTCAGTCACTTGGGAGAGAAGCCTTTTTTACCGAAGAACACAGCCTCAGTGGCGGGACTGTCAACCCAGACTGATTTTCACGTTAAAGCTATGGCCTCAGGACACTGCAGCAGAAGAAATGTGTTCCCCACCGACATAGAATGAGCCGAGTGGCTTCTTCCAGGCATATGGCCCCAAGTCTTGGAGTGGACTAGCGCCGTGAGACATGATCCAGGACAGAACGATCAGGAGACAATGGGTTTCCCTTCTCCTGAAGTGCTGTGGCAGGGGTCCAGACCCCAGAAGAGACTCTGAACTGGACCAATGACTTCCAAACGGATCTACAGGCCACTGCCGCAGAAGCACACAACAGAAGCACCGACAGCAAGGCCTTCCCTCCAGAAGTTCCGATTCGAAGCCCTGCAGCTGAGCCTGGGCGTTCTGGTCGTCGCTGATATCCCCAGAGGACTCTGCCTCACAGTCAAGCTTGGGGGTCCCTGGGCCAGACAACCTTACAGCCCTCAAGGCCTGGGATGTGTGTCCCTAAAGGGAATATAGGCTCTGAAGCCCGAAACCCCTTTTCAAATCCTCACTCAGCATCCCTGCGTGTCTACTTTCTCATCTTGCTATGATGGTTCAATGGAGTTGCAATGACTTAAAAAAAAAGAAAAGAAAAGAAAAAAGACACCAAGCTTAGCACTTGGCACAAACAGAGTTTCATAAATGCCGGCCACCTCGTAGGCCTGGCCGTGATGCGCTCACACCAGGAAGCAATCCTAATACTTCTTTCCCACTATCGCCCACTACAACCTTAAAGGGTTCACGGAGGCTGACCCTGCCCGGATGCCAGTGACCTCGGGACTCCGTGAGCAGTTCCAGGGTAACCCGTTCCCAGTGGAAACGCAGGCTGCGTGTCTGGCCTTCGCACTGTTGGCCCTGTTGTTCTGACGGCCGGGCCCTGAACTTACTTCCTCCAGGGTCGTCTCTGAGATGCCGTAGCTGGAGATGCCCAGGTCCGAGAGCCGGTCGTCGATCTCGTGGAAGAGTTCCACAAAGGCGCCCTCTTTGGCAGCTTCGTAGGGCAGCACATAGGTCAGCTCATGCCCGATGTCTTCCACCAGCCGGGCCTCGGCCACGTGCTTCCGGATGAGGTTGGAGATGATGGCGACGTCTGTGGGGAGCAAAGCACACAGACGGCTCAGCCAGCGCAGAGGCCCCATACTGAGGGCCGGCCATTCCCTGCCTTCTCCCTCTGCCTACCCCTCAGAACTCCACTAGCCATGCGCCGCACCTGTCTCAGATCCCTAAGTCATGCCACATGTTCATCTCTGGCCGTGAGTTCCTGGGGGCAAGAACTATGTCTTTGTATCCCCCAAACCAGGTCCATCGTAGGTTCAGTGCATGGGTGGATGGGTGGGTGGACGGATGACTCAGCTTGAAAGCCTGGTTTCTATTGCCTACGCTCTAGGATTCTTCAGCGGAAAACTTGACTAAACAAACTTGAAAAGATTCTTCACCTTCCCCTAGAAAGATCCTTATATCTATCTCAATAGAAGCCTAATCAGACAGTCCATGGAAGGAGTCTCCTCCCTGGAGAATGCTGGCGAGGAGGACTGGGCAGCGAGGGTCGAGGTACAGGCTTCTGTTGCATCCTCGCTACTGGTGATGCTGGCCTCCCCGCCACACACGTCGGGAGCAAACACAGCAGGCTATTCCTGTTCTCCTGGGCTCTCAGCCTCCCTAGGACCTGAGCTCTAGTCCCTCCCCAGTGGCCTGGCCCTGAGCTCCGCATCCCTGGTCTCCAGTGTCCAGCCAGATTCACACCCCCCCCCCCCCCCCCGCTAAGGGATCCCCTCACCCCCAATCATCTCAGCTCTCTGAGGCCCTGCCCAGTCAGCTCCCAGACCAAGCTCCAGGCTTCCCAGCAAGCGTGAGGCCAACCCGCCACCAAGCTGCACCCTCTCCCACAGCCGCCCAGCCCGGCCCAGCAGCAAACCTTGAGTCAGCGCCACCAGCCTCTGCACCTCTCCTCCTCTGCCTCCACTCTGCCCAGCTGGGGGAAGCTCAGGCACCACCTGAATAAGAAACCCCAGAGTCCTTACCGATGGTCAGCGTGTCACTTTCATGGTCGCTGCCCAGGCCAGCATCAGAACTGCTTTGAGAAACACTGTCCTCCTGATGGCAAAGAAGGAGGTGAGAATGGGTCAGGGACCAGGCAAGGCACAGCCACCACCACCTTCGCCAGGGAGGGCTCCAAGAGGCTCTGTGTGTGAGAACTAGAGCAGAAAGCTTCTCCCGAGAGGCATGCAACGGGGCGGCCAGGCTTCTGGGCCACAGTACGACATGTGTGCCGTGGGGATGGCCGCCTCCTGGAGGTGGGAGTCGGGACGCAGCGCCATCCACAGAACCATGGCCACCAATGGGTACCGTGAGCAGGCCCTCGGCCGGCTGAGCATGGGAGTTATCTGGCTAGATGTCTAGTCAGTGCTTCTCAAGCTCTCATGTGTGTTTGTTTAATTACCAGGGCACTATGATTAAATGCAGATCCTGAGCCGTCCCAGGGTGGCCCAAGTTTCTGCATTTCTAACAAGCTCCCGAACGTGATCCCAGTGCGGACGTTTTTCAGAACACACTTGGGATAACCTGGTGCTAGTGAAAAGCAAGTGGACAGGAGCTCAAGGTTGGGATGTAAAGGTTTTACGTGCCACGGGTTTCAGCACATTAACGAATCTCAGGCATGTACTGTGGTCCAGAGGAAAACGTCCTTGGTTATTGGGTTCTGGTCCCACCTCCATTATTTACCTGCTGATTGAACTTGAATAAACTACCAAGCCACTATCAGCCTCCTTTCCCTCATCGTGGACAGTAATTACAGTATCTTATTCCCAGGGTTACTCTGCACTTTGAGATGACTTTTTTTAAAAAAATGTGTAAGTAACAGCAAACGCTACAAAGAATTATCACCATCATTCTCTTTTGTGTTCAGAGTCTGCTAGACTGAGTGTCTGGCATGAACTTGGTGCTCAGTAAACAGCAGCTTTGCAGATTGAAAGGTGAGGTCACTGCGATGGCAAGGTCATGATAGGAGCAGCAGGGCCTCCTGCAGCCACGCAAGTCTCTTTTCTCCAACATAACAAAGTCCTCTAAGGACCTCCTCCATCACCCAGCCCACGTGCTTCCACAGGAAAACGCAAAAGGAATTCAACGGAGCTCACACTATGGGAACAGAGGCCTCCCGAGCCTTCCACGTATGCGGGATGATGTGATTCCACGGGAACCACAGCACCAACTTGGCGGAGGGGGTAGAGGGAGACAAGCCCTTCTCAGCCAGCAAGTCCCGACTCCCCGACCTCCGCCAGCCCCCGCACCAGCCCCCGCACCAGCAGAGGCGGCAGCTCACCTTTTTCAGGTACGACACGGTGCTGCTGCTGTTTCTGCAGGAGCTGAGGGAGGACTCCACGTCCTTCTTGACCAGGGTCAGGTAGTAGCCGGTTCCCATCTGGTTCTTCAGGAACAGGGAGGAACCCACGCAGCACAGCTTCCCGTGGGAAATGATGGCGATCCTGTCCCCCAGGATGTCTGCTTCGTCCATGTGGTGTGTGGAGAGGATGATGGTGCGGCCTGCGGCGCAAACACAAGGACACGGGACAGGTGAGACCTGTCGATGTGCACTGACTGCAGTGGCTAGAGCTAAAATGTTAGCAGGGGGAAGCATGGGAGAAAGACCTGGCAGGCTGGTGGCCAGGACCACTAAGCTGTGGGCATAGCTGCTGCATCCTCGTAAAAATAAAAACGAACATTCGGGGAAGACGACCTGCCAGGCAGTGTGCTAGGTGGTCTACATGCATTCTCCTTTAACTTAATCCTCCCTGGGGTAGGCTCGACTGTTATCACAGGTAACGAAACTGAGGCAAGTTAAATGGCTTTTCCTAGGCCTCAGGGCCAGCCAGGGCTGGTTCCAAAGCCTGTACTCCTCCTTGTAACCATAAGGTGGCAACCTTACGTATCATCTAAATCTCTAAGCAGACTGCCAATCATGCCCCTGCACGTCCCCCACCCACTCATTTATGCATCCACTCTTTCGACAAACATACATTTAATGCACCATATTGGGGACAGAGATGAACAAGGACACATCCTCTGCTCTCAGGGACCTCAGTCAAGAGGGGACATGGTTATATGACACGTGGGTACGTTTTTACTAGAGATGGGGGGGGGGGGGCGTGGGAGCCCAAAGGAGATGCCCGTTATCCCGTTTCCCTTCTTCTTGCAGACCCCGAGGTCATGAAGCGTAAACTTTAAGCATCCTATAAACCAGGCCTCCCCCTACACACCGGGGGGGGGGGGGGGGGGGGGGGGGGGCGGCGCACAGCTTTCAGAAAACGAGTTCCGCATTTTCCTTGAGAAGCAATTCTGTTGCTCTAGCAAGAACAGCCATTAGCTATGGCCATCCTTCTCGAGCCTCTTCCTCCCTTCTTCCCTCCCAGCCCACAACACAGGATAAATGCACATCGTTTACCTTGCCGGTATTTCAGCAGGAGCTCCCATATTCCCCGGCGGGAGTAAGGATCCACGCCGGCTGTGGGCTCATCCAGAATAACAACCTTGGATCCCCCAACAAAGGCCAAGGCCACAGACAGCTTTCTCTGCATTCCACCTGTAAGCAGGAGAGAGGGAGGCTGAGGACAGTGAGGCAGGGCAGAAGCGGCGAGAGAAGAATGGAGGCACCCAGACCATCCAGGGACAGGCCGGGGGAAGGGGGGGGGGCGGGTAAAGGGAAGAGGGGAGGGAAGGCAGCTCTAGGCCTCACCTGACAGCTGATTGGTTTTGCTTTTCAGTTTGCTGGGTGGCAAACCGACATCCAGGGCCATCTGCTCCATGTCCGCTTTCACAAACTTCTCTGAGAGGCCTTTCAGGCGGGCGTAGAACCAGATGTGCTCTTCCACAGTCAGCCTGGGGACAGAGGGGCAGCTCAGCCCTGGGCCCTGCAGGACGCTCCGGAATACAGGGTCTCTCTGGAACCCCGCCAACCAACCGAGAAGCTGGCTCTGCATTAACCTGGAGCTGCCCCCCTGAACTTCAAAGGCCCTCAGACCCTCAGAGAAGGGAGAGAGCCCTGTGGAGAGCATGAGCATGAGCTGCTCGCTTCACACAAAAGGAAATTGGGCTCAGAAGGATAAAGTCCTTGGCCCAGGTTACAGAGCCCAGGTCTTTCTCTGCTCCACCACAGGGCTCCCTGGGGGACCTCCTACTTGCTGGTGGGACAACCCAGCATCAGGGAGGGCTGTGGCAGGAGAGAGGACAGGCCCATCGACCCTCCAGAAAGACAGCAATGGACAGCACCATTGCCCAAGCCCTCATCCTCGGGCGGGGCTGATGGAACATCTCCCATCCTACAGTTTACCTCCTCCTTTTCCTAAAGTTGAGGGACAACCAGGTCTCCAAGTGTCCAGGCGAGGACACCACCAAAGAGCATAAAACGCTTAGGTCCTCCTCCGCCCCTGACTCATGACCCCACACGTCCAGAGGGGCTCCGCCCTCCTGTGCTGCTGGTACTCACATGTCAAAGAGCACATTGTGCTGGGGGCAGACCCCCAGGTTCTGCCGGATGGTACTCATCTCGGAGCGAATGTCTTTCCCCAGGATGTAGGCGGTGCCCGAGGTGGGAGGGAACAGCCCAGTCAGGATGGACCTGAGGACAGAATGTTCGAGTCCAGGAGTCAGCGTGAAGCCCCACCTTCCCAGAAACGCTCCATACCCGGCTGCAAAGCCAGCACAGAGCAGAGGCATCAAGCCTCCCACCCCCGACTCCTTCCTAATGGACTCTGACACCCCACAAAGCAAACAAGCCTTCGCTTTAGTGACTGACTATGTGTGGGCCATGTATTCAAAGTGACCACCTCAGTACGAGCATTTTTTAATGAACTCCAATTTGCACTGGAAACTAGGTTCGGACATGGATTCTGCATGCCTACGATCATGTCCACATAAAATGGATGAACAACAAGAAATTATTCCAGATAAAAACAATTTTGTTTGTGTTAATGGTAGGATTTTTGTACGCCTTTTAAGGATTTTCTGCAGTGTTTGTAATATATTGGTTTTGCATTAAAAGAAGATAAAATAGAAAAAGGTCACCCCCAATGACATATCCTTTGCAATGGCTGAGGGACCACACTGAAAGCCGCTAAGGCTAATTCTGTTGTTTCCATGGCCTTCGCGCCCTTTGGAAGCTGCCCACTAGAAGGTCCTCGTAGGTCCAGGGAAGACAAGCATACAGCCAGCTGCCCAGCTGCTTCTCACAGCTGCTTAGGGACAGAGTTCCTGGAAAATGCTACCTCCCTCCAACACATCTAATCTTTCTTGTCTCACATTTCTGGGCAAAGCAGCTCCAAAAGAGAACCTTTCTCAGAGCTGTGAGAACTTCACGTTCCAAGCACACTGCCGAGAACTGAATGGGAACGGTCAGGAAAAGGCACCCAGACTGTTGTAGGCTGAATCAATAACATATAGTAAACCTGGCCTTTGGAAAGCACCATCTGATTAGATAGCATTTTTACACTCATCTTCTCCTCATGTGTCCTGCCCTTGCTTGCCCCAGTGACCAACGCAGTGTGCTTAGGGATGGATTTCTAACTGTGCTCAAGGACCGCCCTGGGGCTGATTCTGAGAGAACCACGCCCTCTTACATGGTGGTGGTCTTCCCGGCTCCGTTGTGGCCCAGAAAGGAAGTGATCTGGCCCTCGTAGAAATTCAGAGTCAGGCCATCGACAGCCACCTTCATGCCATCTCGGTAAACCTTCATCAGGTTCTGAATGGACACACCCAACTTCAGGTGGCTGGGCTCTTCCTCCATGCAGACTGTGAGAAGAGAGAACACAGGAACGAATGCAGAAGACAATGACGCACGGCCTGTGGAGACCAGCAGCTGGGCTTGTACTTTAAGAACTGTCCCCTCTCCATGGCCCCTTCTGGTTCTCCAGGAAGGAGGACAGGCTATAAATACAGGGGTGCACAGAAGTAGGCTAATAATAATACATAAGTAATATAATAGCTGATAAATAAAGAATAGTACAAGAATAAACTCTGTTTCACGTACTCACAACTTGTAAACATACTTTTGCCCACCCCTGTATTTACTTAGGGCCCATTTGGGCACTGGTGTTGGTGATGGGAACACAATGATACAGGAGGATCAGTCCTGTAGGGGGAAAAGACTTAACAATCAGTTAAAATATAAGATGCTAAAAGCTCTTTAAAAAACACATCTGAAGTGGCATGACACTTGTGGTGCAGCCATCTTGTGGAGTACTCCTCAGCAATGAAAAAGAACAATCTGCTGATACACATCACAACTTAGATGGATCTCAAGGGAATTACACAGAATAAAAATCCAATCTCAAAAGATTATATATTGTAAGGTGCCATTTATATAACGTTATGGAAATAATAAAATTATAGAAGTGGAGAACAGAATCTTGATTGACAGATGTCACAGAATGGGGAAGAAGGGCTGTGGCTATGAAAGGGTCACAGGAGGGAGCTTGTGGTGAAAAAAACAGTTTTGCATCTTGACTGAAGCAGTGATTACATGAACCTATACAAGTGATAAAACTGCACAGAACTTAACAAACACACACACACACATACACACACAAGTGCATGTAACACGAGTGCATAAAATCTGAAGGTGTGTGAAATGGACCAATGTCAATTTCAAGGTTTTGAGATTGTCCTATAGTTATGTTAGGTGTCACTATTGGAGAAAACTGGGTGAAAGATACAAGTTTCCTTTTGTAACTTCCCTCCAAGAACCTGAGCAGAGCCCAGAAGGCAGAGCCTTTGCTGAACTATAGGCATCACCACCAGCAGGTCAGGACCCAGGAGAGGATTAGGCTCTGGCTAACGAAGGTGAGAACACTAAGAAGCCCAGGCTGAGCCCGTGGCAGCCACGTGGTGTCAGCCACCGGTTCCTACAGCTGTCTCCATGGTCAGGCAGGCAGTGAGAGGACGGTTCCACAATCACAGTTGTATTTGTCTCTTCCTTCTTCTCATTACGATGGCATGAAAAGTGGAGGGGTGGTGGGGAGGGTGGAGGAGGAGGCTTAGAGTCACTTCCCAAGAAGCCAAGAAAACACGCCTCAGGGACTCAGATGCTGACTCTCTGACAAGTCAACAGCACTGACACAAACAGCTTGGGAGACCTGGGAAAGGGACAAGGAGTGGTTTTAGACTCTTGCCCCCAGCAGTCAGTGGGGGCAGCAGCACTCACTTTCAGATGCGCCCTTCTGGCTGGAACCAGGATGGCTCTTCTCATCACTTTCCTCACCCAACCAGTAGGACTTGGTGCAAGGAAAATACCAGGGCCTGGGGATTCCATACTGGCCTGAAAGCAAAGCACAGGTATGAATCAAGCTCGGCCACATTCCAACATTCCTGAGATTTCCCAACCAGACCCTCTCTCTCCTTGCGCTGCCTTCCTTCGGAGACGAGACAGGACAGGCTGGAATGGAAGGGGGGAGGGGGAGCTACCATTTGATGAGACCTACTTTGTATGACATAAGTTTGCACCTCTTTGAATCTCCCAACCACCCCATGACACAGCTGTCGTTCCTATTTTAGAAAGGAGGAAACTGAGGGATAATTCCTCTACCCAAGATCACTCAGCCAGTAAGTGGAGGACTCAGAATTGATTTCAGATCTGTATGATACAAAATTGCATATCCTATGCAGGAAGTTCAGGTAGGGATAATAAACATTTCACGTATACCTACCCACCTTCCCTTAGGGGAAAATTAGAAGGTGAACCAGAAAGAGTTAAACCTTGCTCTCTTAGAATTTGATCTTACATGAAAATGTCTCCAAGGCAGGTCTTGGTCAAGGAGATGTATTAAGGGAAGTAGCGAATAAATTTTTATGAATGCTAATTCGATTAGATCACAAGCCAGGGCTTGGAGCCAATGTATTTGTTATTCACAAGCTGTGCTGAGGAAACAGAGCCTCCACCAGTGGTAACTCTGGGGATGCAGATGAGAGAATTGGGTCAGCTCTGGGAGCAATCTCCTGGGCCAGCTGACCCAGGGTAACCCAACTGGGTTCACCTCCAAGCACTGACACTTACCAGCTGTGTGGCTACAGGCAATTATTTCACTTCTCTGAGTCACAGTTTTATCATTTGCAAACACTGGTTGTAACAGTAACTTCTTCACTGCAGTCTTATGAGTATTTTAAATGAACCAAAGTATATAAAACACTTTGGACAGTGCCTGGCACAGAGAGCTCAAGAAATAAGCGCTAGCCGGCTGGCATGGCTCAGTGGTTGAGCATCGACCTATGAACCGGGAGGACATGGTTTGATTCCCGGTCAGGGCACATGCCCAAGTTGCAGACTCAGTCCCCAGTGGGGAGGGGCGGGGGGGGGGGGCGGCGTGCAGGAGTCAGCCAATCAATGATTCTCTCTCATCATTGATGTTTCTCTCTCTCTCTCCCTTCCTCTCTGAAATCAGTAAACATATAATTTTAAAAAAGAAAAAGGGCTATATCGGTAGTAAGAGTTGTACTTTTAACATCAGCTGCTTCTCCTTGGTCTGTGTGTTTGCCATAGGTCTAGAGACATAGGTCTAAAGCCGCCGTAGCCACTCTCCAGGGAGCCCCTGACCCTGCAGAAGTCCAAGCAACAAGGGAGACAAGCTCTGCAGCTACAAGTCGCATGTCCCTAGCAGACGGCTAAAGCAGGGCAGAAGCTTGGTGTACCTGGGAAGACAGCCTCGATGTACCACGTCATCACCCCATAGAGGAAGGCGTCAAACAGCATCATAGAGACCGAGGTGGTGAGGTTGAAGCCATCTTCCTCCACGGGGCTCTCGAAGAGGTTGTCCCACTGCACCCCAATGCCCTGCTCCTCGAAAAGGGCAAAGTACTCACAGCCAAACCCGAAAGCCACGGGGGAGAGCAGGCTCTGTGAGAAAGAGGCGAAAGTCACTTATCTATCTCCTGTCTCCTTTTTCTAACACTTCCCATGTAAATTTCACCTGGAGAAATCTGAATGTGCAAAATGGATCAATTACAAGACATGGAAGTAGTCATCTACAGGGTCCCTCTGGGGGAGTGGGCTCCTTGACAGCATATAAAATGATTCTATTTATAGCCACTCATTATGCGCACACATTTCGGAAACGCGGTATGATGAAGTGTAAAACTTTTAGAATTTTATGCTCCCAAAGATGCCCCAAGGGCTCAACATTCCTGCGCCCCACATATACACTCATACATCATCAAGATCCTCCGAGCCCTCTGCTCAGCAGTGATGGCTCCTGTCAGAGCAGCCTGCCTGGGGCCCCTGATATTTAAGGGTCCAAACCAAGGCACCCGGAGGTGACTTTTGGAAGTGATCCGGGGACAGCTGGCAACTCACCCTTACATGGGCTTACACGGCCTTGAAGGCCCCTCCTCCCGTGGACAAAGGAGGGAGGTGTTGAGGGCAGGGGTCCGTGGGAGATGGGGCACCTGCTCCTCAGTTTTTTCAGTTCAGAAAACGTTACTCAAGTGAGACCCAAGCTGGACACAAGGAGCACAGAGTCAAGGAGGAGCCACCTGTGACCTCAAGAGGTTTCAGTTCTACCTGTAGCTGTGACTTACGGTGAGTTCACATGGGGGTGGAGACAAAAGGTGGAAACGGCATCTACTGTCTAAAGGGGCTCCCCAATGCCATTTACCCACAGCTAGGTGGATGGTACAGCCTGGCTCTGAAAAATTCCATCTGATTCAATTCGGCCATTTGATTCACTGAGAGGACTAACGGTAAACAATTTCATGAGACGCAGCCCCTGCCTTCAAGCAGTTTAGAATCTAGCTCTGAGCTTCCCATCCCATCCCATTGGAGACTCTCTCAGCCTGGGCTGCAGCAGAGGTGAAGCCCAGGGGCGGCTGGGACAGCGGCGACCACAGAGAGGCCAGGGTCACTCACCGCGAAGATCTTGAGCGTGAAGCCCACGTAGTCCTGCCAGGCCACACACAGGACGTAGGGCAGGTACAGCATGAAGTAGATGATGCCCCCGCAGGCTGCCGCCAGGTTGGCCCGGGAGAAGAGTGTGCTGATGAGGAAGCACTGCAGGATGGTCACCACGGCGAACACGGACAGGAAGACAAACACCACGCTGGGGTCGCTGTAGGGCAGCAGGTTTCCCAACTGGAAAGGAAGAGACCCAATAAACGTGCTGCCTCTTCAACCAGCAAGCACATCCTCGCATGACCTGCGGGACGAAGCGGGGCTCATTCCTTCTCCTCTTAGAGACGATACTGAGGAACGGTGCTGTTTGTTTTTCTGATGAAGAAACCAAAGCCTAGAGAAGGGAAATGACTAACCCAGGACCACAAAGGGAAATAGTGGTAAGTCAGGACCAGAACAGAGTCCAGGGTTGGCACTCATCAAGGTTTATCTCAACAATTTTGTTCTTTGTTTCTCAAAGCAATCTGACCTGGCTTTTTCTTTTAAATGACTATGACTCCTGGCGCCAAGAGAGTTGTGAGAGAGACGGCAACCCACACGACTTCCCCCTCCAACAGCCAAGGAAAGTGGCCAGGCAATCGTAACATCCCCCTTGACAACCGGCCATGGATCCCACACTCCCATAGTCACATGAACCTTTATGTTTATCTGCAGGAGTTGGGTGTATCTGAGCAGGACCTGCCAGCATGCAGTAGTCCCAGAGTAGCTCCCAGGCACCTGCTACAGGACCCCCACACCCACCACAGAGCTCCGTCCCTCACAGTCAGGCACCAGAGCACGAGAGGGGTTCGCTTTTAGCAAGAACTGCTCTGCCACAGGGTCAGATGACCTCAGTGAAGTCCATAACCCTCCTTGGTCTCATTTCCTTGTACGTTCGGTGGGTTATTTAGTGAGGATATACTAAGACGGCACCAGTGATAAGATTTAAGCAGTGTTGGGCAATCGATAAGTGCGCATTTGTAATGAATAGTAACTAGTATGACACTGAATGTTAGTTCCTATGCCACTGCACTCCCCCCCCTCTTTAAAATCATTTATTTTTATCAGATGGATCCTTAACGGAAATGATTGTGGAGAAAGAAAACTGGCCTACAAACTTATTAATGTATGTGGTGGACAGAGAACTGTGCCTACAGTCCCCTTCTGAGGGGACCTGTCCGGCTGTCAGCAGACAGCCTCCAGATACCAAATTCTCTGGGCCTGTTACTGCTGCAGAGAGCACCTGGCCCTGGGGAACACATACGTTCAAGGACTGGCTGAGGGGCCTGGGCAGGGGATGCCAGGGAGGGAGGCCTTGGGGAGCCTAAAGAGCTGGACACTTCAGCTCCATGAGGGACAACTCTGACAAGCATATAGGCTCCTAGTGCCCATGGGGTTGCCTTGCATTGCCGTTCAATTGCTCCCTTTGCCCAGTCCTGCATCCTCCCCAGAGACACTGATCCCTAATAAATATTCATATGCCAAGCGGTTCCAGCCTCTGCTTCCAGGAAACCTAACCTGTAACCATGTGTCCTTCTGACTACAGTTTCTAGATCGGCGGTTCTCAACCTGTGGGTCGCGACCCCTTTGGGGGTCGAACAACCCTTTCTTTCACAGGGATCGCCTAAGACCATCAGAAAACACACATATAATTACATATTGTTTTTGTGATTAATCACTATGCTTTAATTATGTTCAATTTGTGACAATGAAAATACATCCTGCATATCAGATGTTTACATTACGATTCATAACAGTAGCAAAATTATAGTTATGAAGTAGCAATGAAAATAATTTTATGGTTGGGGGTCACCACAACATGAGGAACTGTATTAAAGGGTCGCGGCATTAGGAAGGTTGGGAACCACTGTTCTAGATATTCCAGGAAGCACCGCCCAATATGAGTAAGGCAATGACCAGCTTTCAGATGCTGTCATGAACCTCTGCCCAGCAGACAGGATGGCACAAGGTAAGTGTGTGCTTACCTGGGAAGCAAGCACCCTGAGCTGTAATCCTGCTTAGCTGCTACCCAGCTAGGCTGACCTTGAGAAAGTCATTGTCCCTGCCAGGGCCTCACTTTTCCCAACTTTAAATTGGGGGCATTGCAGGAGATGGCATGTCTGACCCCTTCCCTCCCAAAGAATATTTGCTATTCTCCCCCTCACGCAGCCCATGCTGGGAAGAGCCAGGGGGCAGCCTTACTTTCAGGATGACCACCAGCAGGCTGGCGCTCACGAGCAGAGGGATGAGGCTGCTGATGAACCAGCTGAACCAGAGGATGCCATTATCCAGGCCCATGATACGCATGGTCTCCTTCAGCCGCGCCTCCTTCTCGTACACGATGCCCTTGATGATCACAGCCACCGAGTAGATCCAGGCCAGTGTCATGAAGAGAGGCATGGACCGGCTCATCACCCGCAGGAAGCTGAGGTCCCAGGAAGGGAGGGGGGAGAATTAAAGACAAGTGTGAGCCAGACTCATGGGCCAATGCCTCCAGGCCTGCATGCAAGAGAAAGCACCATGACTGAGCCAAAGATGGCAGGCCCTCTGCACCCGGACACACAGAGAGCTCATGGCATGAGCAGTGCAATGTAGCGATAAAAAACAACGTATTGCCAAAATAAACTTCTTTGGGGGCCTGCTTTAGTAACTAGGTAACTCCAGGATGTCATTAACCTAAATGTGGGTGATTTTAAATTACTAAAACAAAACAAAACAAAAAACAAAAAACTCCAAACTCATTCTCTCATGAAAGTTCAACATCTCCAAGGTCATCGCATTGCACTGCTGACTTGCCTTGCACAACCAATATGACAGATGGTGCAGAAACACACATCAGGCAGCTCTTGTCAGGGGTATTTCCAAATGAGAACAGGAAATGCAGTGAAGCAAATGGGACACAGAATCTGGTCCCTGAAAATCGAGGTCCAAGGCCCAGCTTTACCCCTTCTGCACGCACTGCTGTGAGTCAACAGCAAGGCTCTTACTGTCTCGACTCGCAGCATCCTCATCGTAAGACATCCTTTCTAGAGTGAATCTGGGCTGAGGGGCTCTTTGGGAAAGTCTTCCTTCGGGAAATTCTGGCTCATCTTTCAGGAAATAAGAAGCAAGATAGTTCTGGGTGGCATGGCAAAGCTAGAGTGAGCCACACAAGGAGAGACAATTGCCCAGTGCAAAGCAGAGAGCAAACACAGGGAGAGGCACCCTGTTCCTTCCGCACTCTGATCTCTACACACACACACACACACCAGCAACAAAAGAGCACAGACACTTTCCAGTTGGGAAGGGGCATCACTATTTCAGATGCCTGAGGTGATTATACTTCTCCCCATGCTCTCTCACAAGAAATCATTAGATCCAAAGGCCCAGCTCCCACCATGAGAAGTTGGCAGCACAGTAACTAAGCACTAAAACATTACCTTAAAAGTCTAAGATAAAAAGGCCTTGCTCCGTTTTACTTGGGTTGTTTGAAAATGCGGTTTTTCCATTACGGAGAAGAAGTACACACGTTTGCACACAGTGAGCTTTTCTAGGTCTGGAACTCTGTCCTGTGTTTGGGGAATGTGTGTATGTGTTTGACATGGCATTCTAAACGTGCAGATTGGGAACTTTTAGAGGTAAGTTACTTAGTTACTTGACTGACTTTTGTGCAGGAAAGAGGTTCAAAAGAGTAAAGTGTTAAAAAAAAAAAAGTCCTGGTAATTGTGGACGAGAAGGGAAGGAGGATCGACAGTGTGTGCCCATGTCTGTGTCTCTAATGCGACTCAAACTGTCAACTATCTACATCTGGCATCTCATTTCCTGAGATCGTCACAGAATTTCAAAAACAACTTATGACCAGTATCAACACCCACATAAAATAAATAAAATCAAAGCGCTCTGTCTCCTCCCTGGGTGTGTGTGTGTCTACACGCCACCTGGGGACAGTGTCAGCTCGCTAAATAAAGAAGGTGGCTTCCTGGTGACTTACATGTCATCGACGTAACAGGGGTAGGGCATCTGCTGCACGTAGACCCCGGTTTTCTTCTCGGTGCCCGTCAGCACCCGGATGATCGCCTGTTCCACCACATCCTGCAGGTAGGCGAAGCCTCCCCAGACGTACCGCATGTCCTCAAAGGGGTCTGCCCGAGGACCAGGATCCCAGTACCTGAAACCGAGACACAGGCAATCAAACATTTTGCAGAACCACACAATAAAAACCCAATCACCCGCAATCCCATCACTGCTCCCAGCCACTGTTTTTATGTTTGTATCTTACCTTCTGGTGTCAGTTGACATGTACACATATTTTTAAATAGACACCAGAAAGAGCATACCACTTAGCTTGTTTTCCCCCTCCACTGAATACCTAACATTGCATCTGGTAGACATACCACCATTTACCTGACCACTCCCTTCCATATTGATTGTTTGTTCCCTTGTAAAAAAGGATAATGTTAACATGGGGAACCCAGAGCCTTTTTTTCTCCTTTTTTTGTTCTGTTGATTTAATTCCTTAGGATTAATTCCCTTGAGTGAGAAGGCTAAATCAAAAGATAATAATATTTTCTAAAAAAAGATATTTCATTACCTTTGAAATAACTGTCTCCATCAAGAAATGTGGCCACTGCACCAAAATTATGCCACCCATTTAAGTTCCTAACAAATTAGTCAATAAAAGTAAGAACCCCTAGTCATCTTAGCTGCTCTTGACTTCCCCGGGGCTGGCTGGTGTGATGGGACTCAACTCACCCATCTTTGATCTTATTCGTCCTCTCCACATTGTCAATGTCCATGCGGATCTTGTACTTGACGTGATGGGGCAACTCGACACTGTCAGGGGGAATCCCGGTGAACACGATTCCAGCCCAGAACTTCCTCTCATCCAGCAGCTCCATGGACTTGTTGATGAGCCAAACCTCTGTTGCGATCGGTTCCACCTTGTTCAGGTTGACACACTGAAGGAAGAACAGCTGTCATGAGTAGTCTGGTGGCCAGAAAAGCAAGCAGTGGCCCAGGAAGACCTGACCCTGAGAGCAAAAGGCTATGTGGCTTTTCTATCCTCACTCTACAAATCTCCCCTCGAGTCACTTTCCAATATGCAACTGAAAATGGGTCATATTTCTTAACTGAAATTTAGAGATAAGTCACTTAACTGACTTTTGTGTGGGAAAGAGGTTCAAACAATGACCATGCCTCCTTTTCCTCTCTGTTTTCTTAGCAATTTTGAGACATTAACAACTAACCAAATAAATAAACTTGTCCCTCTTAAGTGACATCATTTTTAAGAGACTAAATTTTAAAAAATGTAATCTGTCTGATTAGATTTCAGATAAATTTCATAGAAACACTCTTAGGTCAGACAGAAAAAAAGCTCGAGTTAGACTTGTTTATTTACGTATTTGATCATTCAGCTGACATTTACTGAGTGCCTTTTGTACGCCAAGTCCTACGTTAGGTTTGAGGACACTACTGTAAATAAGTCTGTACATCATTCCTAAGCATCCCTCCAATCTGACTGACTTCACCATCTCAGAGGGGAAAAACCACAGCATGGCCTTTTCTAAATGCTCCACAGAACAGAGCCTCACCTCCATGAAGCGACCTATGGTCTGGACCGCCCCGTTGGTCTCATTGAAAGCTTCTCTCCAGGTGTACACAGAGCCGTTCTCTGACTGCACGTCCTCTGGGTACTTGGCCAGAAACGCCACGATATCTTCGGCTGTCCAGTCTAAGCCGGCCAAGCGCTGTTTCCAGAAGTGGTCATTGCCCCTGCTGTTCAGGAGTGTCTGCCATTTCAATGGGAAATCACAAGCAGCAAACATTACAAAACCCTTCACGTACGTGGTCTCCTTCATTTATCTTCACAGCAAACTGCGAGTTAAATAACAGTGTCCCCGTTTTAAAGATGAGAATATTGGGGTTGAGCAATAAATGAATATGATTTTAACCAAGACTAAGTCACAATGCTAATAGCCAGGGAGCTGAGACTCAAAGCCAGACCAGTGCGAATGCAGAGTCCCTATGTTTTCCACTGTACCAAACAACCTAGCTTAGCAGTAAGTAACTACAGCAACAACAGTAATCACCCTTACTCTGCAGTTACTATACTGAATTATTTATCTGTTTTACCTCACGCAACTCTCTGATGGAGGTACCTTTAATAGCTCCCATTTTATATATGGGAAAACCTACATTCAGAGCTGTCAAGTTCCTAACATAAGGTCCCTAATAAGTAGCAAAGTTTAGCAAAGTCAGAATAGGAAACCTGGGCTCTCTGATTCTACTGTACCTTCCCAGTGCATTGAATTACTTTCCTCCCTTGAGACCCTATCTGATGACTCCTCATATAGACCACATCTCTAGTCTGAATGAAGACAAACACACTTTTGCTGTTTAGTTTGGGAAAATAATACCGTTATTAAACCAAGTAAAATACGATCTTTCCCAACTGCAAGACACATGGGTCATGATGCAAAGGAGGCCTAACTTCCATTTCTTGCTCCACAGCTGGTTGGCCCTCAATGTGGGTCTCAATGTGGAAAAACAGAAAAACCTAATTTGGTGCTCAACCGACAGCTACTTTCTTACTTTTTTTTTTTTTTTAAATGCATTTTTATTGATTTCAGAGAAGAAAGAAGAGGGAGAGAGAGATTGAAACATCAATGATGAGAGAGAATCATTGATTAGCTGCCTGGGCACGCCTCCTACTGGGGATCAAGCCTGCAACCCAAGCATGTGCCTTGACAGGGAATCGAACCGTAATCTCCTGGTTCATAGGTTGATGCTCAACCACTGAACCATACCAGCTGGGGATGGCTACTTCCTAAATCAGTCTCATTTCCACTAACATGAGCTGTTTTCCCCACGTGGCTTCATATTTACTATTTTAATGGAAGCATAATGATTTCATAGATTATACTTACTATAATTTCACTGTTTTCATGCTGCTAAGCATTTAGCCTATTTCTAATTTCCCACAATAACAATTATTATAGCAATAACATTTTCTGTTCTACAGTGACTTCTTCTTTTTAAAATTATGTCTATAGGATATATTCCTGAGGGTGTGTGGAATGGAGGTACACAGGGTAGCACACTTTTTATGGTTCTCGCAATTTTCATCCCAAATTGCTTTCCAATAGGGAATAACAATTTATACTGTCATCAGTAATATATGTATTTTTGTTAAAATAAATAGATGCAAAATTGTACCTCACAAATTGTGAAACAACTTTATTCAGAGACTTGAACTGAACGAATGAGGGCTGAGTGAAGACATGTGGTGTCTGGGGTGAGACCTGCCCTGCCCAGTGTGGATTTTGAACAGTACTGCCAAGGAAGCAAGACTAGAGAGATGAGCCCAGTGAAATCCCTGGCCACATGGCCATTTTAGGGTACATGAGGGGGCCAGGAGACCTAATTTCACCCTGAGGAGTAGTAGCCAGGGAGAAAGCAGGGTCTTGAGATGAAGGTGCCAAAAAGCAGCTAAAAAGGAGAACGGTGTAGTATCGGTAGGGTCCCTGATGCAACAGAGAAGTGATTCTGGATCTGTGGGGTAATGCAATGGGTGCAGACAGAGCCACAGATAGCAGAGAGATAAGAGCTATCACAGAGCAGAATGGTGGTTGCCAGGGGCTGGGGTGGGGGAGATGGGGAGATCAAAGTGTACAAAGTTCCAGCTATGCAATCGGAGTTCAAAGGTATACCCTATACCAGTGATGGTGAACCTTTTGAGCTCGGTGTGTCAGCATTTTGAAAAACCCTAACTTAACTCTGGTGCCGTGTCACATATAGAAATTTTTTGATATTTGCAACCATAGTAAAACAAAGACTTATATTTTTAATATTTATTTTATATATTTAAATGCCATTTAACAAAGTAAAATCAACCAAAAAAATGTCATAGGTTCGCCATCACTGCCCCATACCAACAATACATACTCTCGACTTGAAATTTGCTAAGCAATCACTACGTGAGATGATGCATATGCTACCAATTGTGGTGATCATTTTACAATGTAAACGTACATCAAAACATCAAGTTGTTCACTTTATATATAATTTTGGCTTGTCAATACACCTCAATAAAAGCTGAGAGAAAGAAGGGAGGACAGGAAGGAGGGAAAGAGAGAAGGGGGAGAGAGACAGAGAGAAAGAGGGAAACAGCAAAAGAAGGAAAAGAACTACGCCAACAACAGCAGAGACCTCAGGCACTGCCTCATGTGCCAGACTCCATGAGGTTGTAGGGGGTACAGAGTAGGAGAACCCCAAGCTTGCAGTGTGAAACAAACATTCCTTCAAAGAGAAAGGAAAATCGGAGGAGGCTCCTTCAATTTCCACCCACAGGCTGATCAGTCCCTAGTCAGTTTCCAGACTAACCACCCCTGCTCTCCCCGCCCCAATATCTGTCAGCCTAATGGACAGCCCCACCATCCACCAGCCAGACGTCAAAAATCCTCCTCACGCCTCCCTGTCCTTCACCCTCTCCATTCAAGCAGCCCTCAGGCTTCACCTCCTGCTGGCCCTGGCCGTCCACTTGGCTGGCCTCCATCCTGGTCTCTGCCGCCATCGTCCCCCTCTTTAATCCACTTGTCACATCGGAGTAAGACATCTACATCTCCCCTTGCTTCAAGCCCTTTCATGGTCCCCTGGAACTAAAGTCACGGTCCTCCAAACCACAGGCCATGCCTTCTCCCCAGCCACAGCTCCCACATCCCTCTTGCACATCCTGGGGCCTCCCACAGGATCCCTAATGAATGCCACAGCGACGTGTACAAGGCTTTGTCCCAAAGAACTGGGAGCCTGGGAGCTGCTGGAACATCCAGGCCAAACTCTCCATTTAAGAGCAGGGAAAGCATCTACCTGCCTCCAGACCCAAACTCACGGAATCCCTTCCCACTCGTGGGATCCTCCGAGACTCGGGAGGAGAGAAATCCAATGGGGAGAAGTGCAGGTTCCAAGGGGGGGACTGGGAAGCGAACCAGGGAGCAGAGGCCTGGGATCACACGAGGCCCAGTCACGGTGCATGGCTGGGCCACGGAATCCCTTCACAGAGAAGAGACTGGAGCCCAACTGAGAACCATACTTGAAGGGCATGCGTTGTGACTATTATGAGTCAGGAATTATCCAGTAAACCCATAAAAACTGTTGTTCATGTTTTTCTCACTAAAGTCCCTTGGTTTTGGAAAGGCCCCAAGTTAAGAATTCTGCATAGATAACAAGACCAGCACAACAAAGATGACTCCAGCTTTGCCATTAGGGGAAGGCCCCCTGGGAAATGCCCCTCCCAGGGCATCTGGGGACAGTCCTATGTCTGAGACAGTTCCTTCCAGATAGGTATCAGCTCTCAAACCCAGCTGCCTCTCTGATCAATGAGGTGTCAAGACAAGAAACCTGGCAAAATCCATCCCTGCTTCTTAATGGCAGCAGACACGAAAGGAAGCGCCTCCAGTCCGTGGAGATAGAAAACAGCCTAATGATCCTGGCCCAGCCCAAGGCAGGGATGATGTGATTAAATGGCACTCGGGCTCGGGTGGAGGAGACATTCTGTTCTTGCTCAGACTCCTCTGCTTTTGAATCCAATTGTCTCCAGAGCACTAATCCCTTTCAAGTGAAGCGGAAGCACTGAGTGCAATTAGCCTCCATGTGGTAATGGTGGCTCCTCGGAGCAGGTCTCTCGCACCTGTCTATGGGTCAGAGCAGCCCTTTGCTCCCACACCCATGTCCAAGTTCCACCAGGACACAGGAAGGCGAAGCTGGCTCTAGAGCCAGAAATGAAAACAGCCAGGGTCCTGCAATCACCAAACGCTCGCTCCAAACACCAGCCCTCAGTTTCTTAGAAAACTGATGTGCGAGAGCCAGACGCATGGATGCTGATGTGCAAGAAACAGGGTTGCCTGTGCTCGTCACCTGCAGCTCTACAAAGGTGACAGCCCTGTGGCTTGCGCTCAGCTCAATACGTCTACACTAGTTAAAGGTAAAGAATTCTCATCTAAGCCACTTCTGGGTAAGTGACTAGAAACTCGCCTCTCTAGCATCAAGCAGGCACACGGTCATCAGAAGGACACTCACCCGGACAAGGTCCATTTCTGGGCTGCTCTCCATGAAGGTCCAGATCTTGGGGCTAAGCTCTTCCCACATGCCTTTTATGTCATGAAACACAGCCAGTTCCTGGAAGGTCTTATTCACCTGGAGTGAGGAGGGGAGCCAGGGAGAGGCGGAAGAAAAGAGGAGAGGCAGACATGAGAACTACAGCTGCTCCCTGAAAAGACGCTCATCCCAGCACCCTCTTTCAGTCCTCTCTCAGCCCTTCCCATCCCCGGGAAGTGCCTGCTGGCAGCACCGATTCAAATACCCAAGGCTGGAGAGCCGGACCTCAACAGTTAGCTCCGGCCTGGGTCAAACCCAAGGTTCTCACTCTTTGGAAATCCCAGAAGAGCCAGGATTTGCTCGATATACTCCATCTGGAACCACCTGCGACTCTAGCAGGATTCTGGAGAGAAAATCCTGGGCTTGGGCAGCTTACCTCAGCCATGACCTGCCTCGTGGCTGGAGTGTCAGGTGTATACAGGATCTTCCCAACAAGCAGAGGCTTGAGAGCTTTCCATATGATGCGGGAGAGTGGACTGGACTCCAAACTCTTCATCACATCATTGCAATAAGGACCTGTGACGATGAAAGGCAGATGCTCACATGCATGCTCACAGAACCTGCGAGACAGTCCCAGGTTCAAATCCCTGCTCTACCACTTAATAGCTACATAATAAATAACAGCCAGCCTGAGCCTCAGTTTGCTCCCCTGTAAAAAGAAAGTTCATTACAGCTGTCTGGAGAGCCCTAAGAACAATGCTTGATAAATAATCAGAGCTTCTTATAACACTGATTATGGAACGCTCATAATGGAGACGGATCTAGAAAATGTTTTTACTGTGCACAACAAGCCTGCATACCCCTAGGTTCATACCCTCATGCCGATCCTCACCAATTTGTTTTCATTGAAAACACAGGGCTGAACTCAGAATTTAGTTTTCACGCAAAAAAAATCAAACAATTCCCATGGGGGCAGGGGGGAGATAAGAAGACATATGTAATACTTTCAACAATATTTATTAAAAATAAATAAAAAACAATTCCCCTTCATTAAAAGGTCTGATCACAAATATAAGTAACCAATGTAAAAAAAAAATCCTAAACTGAGAAGTCTGAAGTTAAACCAGATACTAGGGTTTGATTTTCCAGAAGGATTCCTATTTTTTTTTTTTTTTTTACATTTCATTCCAGGTTCTTTTAGATACCAAGGATCCTCTCAGTGGTTCTCAACCTTCCTAATACCGCGACACTTTAATACAGTTCCTCATGTTGTGGTGATCCCCAACCATAAAATTATTTTCGTTGCTACTTTATAACTGTAATTTTGCTACTGTTATGAATCGTAATGTAAACATCTGATATGCAGGATGTATTTTCAGGGGTCGCGACCCACAGGTTGAGAACCGCTGCTACATGCTGCAAAGACAATATAATTTTTTTTTAAAGAGGATCTGCTCACAAGTCCACCTGTTGGGAAAATGAAGGTTCCCTCGGTTGACTTGCAAAGCGAGGAGCAGAGGGGATGGCGTTTCAGAAAACTGCCTGTAACGCCATCCCCTCCGGCTTGCAAAGCAACTGCGCTGTCTGAGGGCTTTACTCCAGCGGTGAGGAGAGGTTCTTGGGTTACAGTCATGCACAAAAAGCTGCCTCACTCGCTGTCTGAAAGACACACCTGCGGTTGGAAATGGAGAAAGGCTCGCTTGCATCAAGTTTTCAAGGGAAAGGATGCCATTGTTTAAAACTGTAACACTGGCTCCTCGCTGCCATCCAAAGTGCCCGGGTGTGAGCAGCAGATATGGAGTTACAAGGTTCTTTAACACCGCATCGCAGCTAAGACCCAAAACAAACACCTGATCAAATGCCCGGGCCTGATGGGAGACACACGCCTTCACTGACAGGTATTTCAGAGGCTGTGTGGTTTACCGGAAGAAAAGCTGGAGCCAGGGGGATCTGGGCTTAATCTTGGCTCTTGTGGATTAGTGAGGCTTGTGTGGCTTTGAACAAGTCACTGAACCTCTCTGAGCCTGGAGAATGTGAGGCTATAAAACCTTCCTTGAATGGCTACCGTATGGGTTCAATGAGCTAATAAGCAGAATGCATAGGAAATGTTCCCTCAAGGTTGACTTTTATGTTGTTGTTATTATCATTACTGCTATTTTTTAAGTTTTTATTATAAAGCACTAGTGGCCCGGTGCACAAAATTCGTGCACATTAAAAGGGAACTAATTAGAGGAAATATTTTAATATTGCTGTTTTGTTTCCATCTCTCCATCCCAGTCTCTCCCAGTCTCTGGCTTTGTTTTTCTCAGCAGTCCTCCAGGCCTCCCTGCCTCCCTGCCTCCCTGCCTCCCTCTTCCTCTTTCCTGGCTGGGAAGGAGCAGGGCCAGTGAGGGCAGCTCCACCCTCTGCCCTGGGGCCTCATTCTGAGAGAAGCTCTGAGAATGGGGAGGGAAAGAAAGGGAGAAAAGACTGTGAGCTGGTGGGCGCTGTGTGTGTGTGTGTGTGTTCGTGTGGTTGTGAGTGAGTGTGAGTGCCGGCCCCGCCTCCCCAGCCCCACCCTAGCTGCCACAAGTCCCCACCCACCATAGCCTGCTGCGCAAGCAGCCTGGGCGCTGCGGTCGGTCGTTGTGGATGCTACGGACCCTGGCTCTTTATAGATATAGATACCTCAAGAGGAAGGAGAGAGGAGAGGGAGAGGGGAGAAAAGCCTTCATTATTCTGGGAACCACTCTCCTACATTCCCCAGAAAACTGGGAGATTGGCTTTCAACTATTCATTCACCACTTGATAAACACACTGTGTACCTGAGACGTGCCAGGTCCCAAGCAGTGGGGATAGGTAGCTAATCAGGAAAAGACGCTAGGTTCTAGGTGCTCAGTGGTGAGCAAACAGACACATGCACATCCAATGCTGCACCAGAGGATGAGGGTTAGCATGAGGGAGAGGGGACACAGGGCTGCCTGAGTCTACATCGAAGGTGGCAGAGGCCAGGGCTTGGGCCTGCAGACACTCACTTGTAGAATTGTCATAGACAGCGCCAGCATCCTCCTCAGTGCCATTGCCTCCAAAGAGGGCTTTGTAGTTGTTGTCCTCATACCAGTTGAGGGACTTGATCTTCAGGCCCCCACCCTCGGGGTGGCCACAGACGATGCGGGAGACAGCCTGGTATATCTGGGTGGAGGAGATGGAGCTGTTCACGTTGGTCAGAAACATCACCTCCTGCCGCATGTCACTCCAGCTCTTCATGCTGAACAGCTGAGGTCAGGGATCGGGAGGGAAAGGAGAGGGAGGAGGAGAAAAGGGTAGAGCAAGGGTGGGAGACAGAAAAGAGAAAAAAACATCTTATTTTCTCAACCTTTCCAAAGCCACATCCCAGAACATATTTTGTATGACATCATCTCCTCAGGGCCTGTGAGGGGATGCCAGACCATGCTACCAGGGTTGTGGTTTACGGCATCTGTGTACTCTGAGAGGTCTGGAATGCAGACCTGATCTACCTGACATAGTTCAAACCTGCATTTTCATGTGATGCCAGGTGATCCCCAGGCACAGTCAAGGTAGAGAAGCACAGCTGGGCAGTGAGTGGAGCCGCTGGCAATGGGCATTATTTCATTCTGATTGTCTTCTGGTGTAGGAGACAATGCTTTCTCTGAACAGCTGCATGCTCACATACATACATCAGGAACTGCTCACACCCTCGATCACGGAGTCATTTCTAAAACACCCTCAACCTCAGTGTGGAAACTAAGGGGCCCCCGCCCCTTGGGAGGAAAGTGACTGTGTGTGCCGTCCCATCCTTGTCTCAGCTCAGTGCTGGGTGATGGAAGAGCATGAAATGGGAAGACCCGAGTTTGCATCCCAGCTCTGTCTCTCATTAGCTTACAGGCTTACAAGAGTCACCCCTCTAAGGCCCAACTTATCATCAAGACGATGACAGTGTGGTGGCGAGGAATAAATCACATGACACACGAGAGCGGCCCCTGCACAGAACAGCCCCCGCGAGCGATGAGTCAGACGCTCCGGGCAGCCAGGGGCTGTGTCTGACTTCCACTCGACAAGGGCTTTGCCTCCCATACAAATGGACTCCCGCACCTTGTGGAGTTCTTGGCCCCATTGCTCTTATAATTAAATATTTATGGAGCACTTTGTATTTCCACACATTTCACAGTACATCATTAACAGATCCCTCATTTCCTTGAAAAGTCACTGCATGTTCTCACCACCTGGAAAACCAGCCGGGGGGTGGGACTGGGCAGTGGGAGGTGGGAGGTGGGAGGTGGGGGGGGACGGACTATGGAACCTGCACACGCCTCAGAGGAGGCCTAGAATCAGACTCCACGCCCCCAGGTTTCTGTCTCACGGAGTCTGCTGGTTCCCGTGAGTGACATGGTCCTATAGATCCTGACCGCTTCCTGCCCCGAGGGGAGCCAGGCACAGATGTCAGATGTCACAAACGTCTGTCCCTCCAAAGAGGGAGAACAAGTCGGTGGCCAGCTTTTCCTCACTTATGCTTTTCATAACCTGCATGAGGTGTACAGACAGGGAGGGAGAGATGGCAGACCACTTCCCCTTTTGTCCGTGAGTGGAACAGCCATGGAGATCTTTAAATAATAGCGAAAGCCACTCGCTTCTCTTCCCACAGGCGGCCTCACCACCACCATCCCGCCGGGCCCCAACCAAAAGAACACACTGCCTCCCACATGAAACCAGCCGTCTCTGCACGGAGGCACTGTAAGTGACGAGGTTACACGGGGCTCTCCCAGCACCTGTCTGAGGGGCACAGTCCACACTCCTCGGTGAAGCGCTCCCACGCACAGCCCACGAAAGGTGGTGTCTGATCTTCCCTGGAGTCTCTCAACCCACTGCCATGTGCCCCCACCATGGTCTCTTCTCAGTTTAACAGCCAGAATGCAGTCTCAGGCGCTAGGTCACGTCATGCCTGCCCCTCTGCTCCCAGCCCTATGCTGGCCTCCCATCTCACTCAGCCCGACCAGGCCTACGTGGCACTCCCCTCCTCCTCTGACCTCTCACCTCTTCCTCTGACCTCTCACCTCCAACCACCCTCTCACCTCCAACCACCCTCTCAACTTGCTCACTTTGCTCGGGCTACCCCGGCCTCCTTCCTGGTCTTTAAATACATTCCTTCATCGTGCCCCACACAAGTGTCTCTGTATCTGTGGTTCCTCCGGGTGTGGAGTGCTCTTCCTTCTCCACTGAAACACTGACATTTCCTGCAGGTTCAACTGTCACCGTATCAGAGAGGACTTTCCTAATCACTGCCTTTTAAACAACGTTTCATCATCGTCTCCCTTCCCTGCTTTATTTTTCTTCCTTGCACGTATCCCTGTGATCACATCATACACCGACCTGTCTCCCACCCGACATGAGACCCAGGAGAAGAGGGAAGTTACTGTGTTCACTGTTGAGTCCCAACATCTAGCGATGCCGGGACCCTGGAAGGTGCTGGGTGGATCACAGACGCTGCTCCCTGCCCTGCCTCCCGATCCTATCAGGCACAGCCTCCCTGTCCTGTTCCCCAGACATGAAGCTCACGTCAGCTTTGATTCAACTACGTCCACTCACTGCCAAGTCCTGTTTATCTATATTTTCTCTCTTTAACGAGTCTCCTTCCTATTCGATACCAGTTACCATTGGAGTTCGTCAGACAACAAGTGGGCTACAGCAGCAAGAACATGGGCTTTGGAGTCCAACAGTCCTGGGTTCTAATCCCAGTTTTACCAATTAGATGACTGTGGGCAAGTTCTCTAACTTTTCTGAGTCTGTCATCTATAAAATGGGCACAATAAGACCCATTCATATTTGTCACATGGATTATGCAGGAAAATTGAGCGGAACTCCATGAACCAGGGGAGCTGCTCAGAAAATATCAGCTCCCTTTTCCTTCAAGGGTTGTGCTCTGGTCAAGACAACCAACTTTTCCCCCAAACACTGAACAGATTAATAAGGGCATTTATTTATGGATTTGTCCTCTCCCAGTTGTCCCAGAGAAATAGCAAGTTAGACAATGGGTAACTTGTGGTTGAAGTGACTTGAAGGTTTTACAGGGAAAGGAGATGGACCCTGCTTGCCCTGGACCAGGGAGCAAGCTGCCAAGAAAAATGTATATTGCTCAGTTGGAGAGTTTCGCCACATCGGCAGTGGGAACATCACATGCTTTTAATTTTTTTTTTTTTTTTACCCCAAAAGGCAGGCCAGTGATGTAAGAGGAAACAGCTGTACCCAGACCCTGAGCTTAGAGGCAGCCTCCCCTGTCGCAGTCCCTGCTCTACTTTCTGTACGGCTGGGCAAGGACCTGGAGGAGTAGTCAGGTCAGGGCACGTCAATGTCAGCTAACGGGACCCTTGAGAAACGGCTATGGACTTGCCAGGCAGTATTTCCTGGAAGAACCCCAGGTGACCCAGCTTCTCCCCTTACAGAAAGGTCACCAGCATTCATAACTGAAGTAACCAAAGGCAGCTGGAAGGGGGCTTCTTTCCCTGAAAGGGACGCAAAAACCAAGCCTCTTCAGTCAGACACACATGAGCACAATTTAAAAAAAAAAAAGGAGAACCAAAAACAACATACTAAAGGGGTGATGGCTTAATCTTGGTGTTTTCTATATTTTCCAAGCATTGCGCATTTTCCACAGTGAGCATGCAATACTTTTATTCCCAGGGAGAAAAAAAGAGAGAATTTTGATATTTGAGAAACACCAAAAAAATGAGTTAGAGAAGCAACTCAAAATAAGGCTGGACCATGCCTGAAAAAATGTCCCCACAAGTCAGTCCTATCCAATGTCCCCTGCCTTCTGCCCTCTGCCCACTGGGCTCAGCTCCTCACATACTGGGCTCCAGACAACTCCTCCTTCCCAAAGTCTCATCTGCAACAAGGCTAGGTGTCAGAAAGGGGCAGCACTCACTGGCCGGGGAGGCAGAGGAAAGGTGAACTGCTTTTGTGAGCACCTACAGGCCCGAGGATCCTATGACAAAGCTTATTCTTATACATCTGTCAACCTGTGGGCTCAACTCAATGTTCATCAAGAGACTATATTCCCAAAATGGGACCCCATAGGCCAGATGTTTACAGGGGAAAGATGTGATTTAGGGATATCCACATTATTCCCTTTAATTAGCATACAAATATTTTGGTAAAGAGTATCTGGCCTTGCAAGTGCAGAAGAAATATGGAGAAGTTGCTGGTAAGACAAAAGCAGCACATGGGGCGGGGGGGGGGGGGGGGTTGGGGGGGGGGGGGGGTTGGGGAGGCGGTAAGCGCGGGCCTCTTTCCAAAGGAGTTATTAGCAAGGGATGGGAATAAAAATGGAAGAAAGTTCTAGACTAGATATGGGGCCTTTAGCCACTAGCTAATTAGCTCTGAGACATCTATTAGTCTGTTTCTTCATCTCTACAGTAAGGAGATCAAACCACATCATTTTAAACATCACCAGTGCTTCTAATACTGATTGTACATTTCATATGATATTTACATTTAAAGAAAACCTTGTTAGTCAACTTAGGGTAAAAAAAAAAAAAAAGCGACAGAGGATGGTCTGCCTCCTGGTGCTGGAAAGGCACAACTTACCTCTTGGGCCAGAGTCCCGAGACTATCCAGCAACATTTTTGTGCCTTCAGTCAGCTCCTGGCTCAGGAAGGGAGATATAGAGTCTAGTCCTGTCTGGAATGAGAAAAAAAAAAAATACTTGGCTTTTAAACTCAAATGTAAACCTGAAATCTCTATTGAAAATAAACAAGTTAATTAAAACCATTCACAACTATGAGCTTAAACACAAGATGGATAGATGTGAGAATGGAACATCTATCGACTGCCCCTACATGCCCCTTATTGGGGATCGAGCCTGCAACCGGGCATGTGCTCTGACTGGGAATAGAAGCAGCAACCTTTTGGTGCTTGAGAGGATGCTCAACCAACCGAACCACACTGGCCAGGGCATAAATTTTCCTTTTAATTCAATGAAAGATAAGCGAGAGGGGGAGGAGGAAAGGAAGGAAAATAAGGTAGGGATGAAGGAAGGGCAAAGAGCATAAGGTGGGTTGAGTATATATCAGATCTGAAAGACGTAACTTCCTTGAATAACATTAACCCAGGAAACATGCCTTGAAACTAGGCCACAAAATGAAATCTGAGAACCAAGTACCTGCACTATTATTAACTGTGATTTCCTGCTCATACTTGTTTGACAAAGGCCAGCAAAGCTTGCCACATCACTTTTCCAAAGAGCTCCAGTAAATAATTCTGTTTGGAATTCCTTATATCATTTCTCCTAACCAAAAACACCCCTGGCTATGAACTCATACAGGTCCCTACTGACCACTGGAAGCAAGTGATTTTCTCGTATGCAGTAAGGAAAGGGGATGGAAAGAGGAAAAATAAAACCTTTAGTGAAGAACTGTACATTCTGTGTTGAGTAAACAGGAATTCATGCATTATTCAATATTTTTAGATCATAACTAAAGACTATAATAGCATTACGGGAAGAATGAACAAACGCTTGTTGTGTTACTCAAAAGCTCCCACCTACTTCTATAAAATGTTCTAATCACAACACAGTAACAGTTCCTAAAAACATGACATTCTGTCGTGCTGTCCCCAGAATGACAAAGGCCATTGTGCCCTCTCCTTTCTGGGTCTAACAGATAACTTCATTATTTTCTTTCTCTCCTCACTAGCTTAATAGCTAAATTATAAAAGACTGAAAATTTAAAAGGCAATTTGACTTTAATTTCTGGGCTGGTGTTTTATTTCAGCTCAGTGTTCAGCATAGTTCCTGGCACATAGTAACTAGACACCCAGTAAATGTTTGTGGGCAGGGGCGGGGGGGGGGGGGGGGGAGTGAGGGAGGCGGGGAGGGAGAGAGAATCAAAAGGAAGGGAGAGCACATTAGGAGGGCTAGATGGACTGGTGTTGAGTCCTGCTCCAATGGTCATTCAAATTCGAAGATTTACTCTGTTTTGTGATCACCTCGAGTCATCCACCCTCTAGAGCAGCGGTTCTCAACCTGTGGGTCACAACCCCTCTGGGGGTCAAACGACCCTTTCACAGAGGTCACCTAAGACCATCCTGCATATCAGATATTTACATTACGATTCATAACAGTAGCAACATTACAGTTAGGAAGTAGCAACGAAAATAATTTTATGGTTGGGGGTCACCACATGAGGAACTGTATTTAAAGGGCCAGAAGGTTGAGAATCACTGCTCTAGAGTCTTTTGGTGGTTCCCTCGCCCTAAAGATGAGGCCCAATCGCCTAACATGATCAGGTAATCTTTGCCCACCTCCACAGTGTCATGCCTTACGTCCCTTCTCCCATTAAACTCCCCATAGCTACATCCACTCCACTCAGAGCTACTTAACCATGTGCAGGTCCTCTAAATGCCACCTCCTCTTCTCTCCCCTCCAGACGCATACAGAGGCCATATCCTCTGCCTGGAGCATCCTTCTCCTGTTCTTTACCCGGCTAACCTCTATTCTTTGGTTTCAACCTAAAGGGTGCTTCTCTCCTGATCCTCAAGGACTGGATGAAGAGGCCGCACCAGGGCCTCCACAGCACCGAGCAGAGGGGTTTTCACTGTAGCGCATCTGCTCCTTGCTTGGACTCTCCCATCTATTCCCCCACCTGCAGGGAAGCTCAGAGAAAGTTGTACCTTGCTCACCACGGCCTCCCTGGCCCAGTACATGGCACAGATCAGGGTTCAGTAAATATTTATTGAATGAATATGTTTATTTATAGAAGATTACTACACAAAATGAAGACTGGGAGGGATTACTACTAATGCAATGGAAGTCACAGCCATACTAGAAAGAGAAGACAGAACATCTGTGAAATAAAAATGTAACTGAAAACTCTCTTCAATTTATAAAAGTCTTATCTACACAGAAATTTTTTAGGGACTCTACTATGAAATAAAGTGAAATGTGGATGTATTTTCAATATAATGCACAATTTTGTTTTCCTCATGCCAATGCATGTCACCAAGTGTTTATGGGGACATTTCAAACTTTCTTTAAATACTTTCATAAAGCAGACTAAAATTTCTCCTTCACTTTGCCCATATTCAAAAACTCCAGGTTAGGACTAGGATTTATGTTGTAGCTCAGACTGAAAGTAAACCATGTGCCAGTCTGAGAGGACCCATCTCTCTATATAAAGAAATTATGTGGCACAAAGTCCTAGAGGATTCAAATTTTTATGGGTTATAATGAGAAACACCTCTTTACAGGCATATCTTTCTTCCAGGGCTCTTTCCTGGTTTTAAGAGAAACTACAGACAAATCAAAGTGCTATCTGGTAAGAACACTGGATGTTAAATGATGTTGTTGGGAGGGGCAATTCACCAGAGATCTCACAAAACCCCCAGAAATGCACCTGTTCTGGAACTATTCACAACACTCCAAAGACCAAAATGCTCAAGTTCATCCCCCATTCTTTGAATAAGAATGAACATGTATTCTCATGGACTGCTTTTCTGAACTATTGAATCCTAGACTGATCAGACCTTGTTGGCATTTGGGGGGGGTGGGGGGGGGAGTAAATGCAATTTTGTCACTGGTTAAGCTAATTATTGAATGTGCTTCCATCCAATTCCAAGGCTTTCCCACTGTGACAGCTCACAGTGTCTCCTTTCTGATGGGCTTTTTAAAATGAATAGATCTCTCTCTTGCCAACAACGGTTTTGAGCCTTTAAAAAAAAAATCTGGAGAACTCTTTCTTCAAATGAACTCATATAATCTCAAATTATAATTTTTCAGAAAAACAGGTATTCTCTGATTAAAACAGGCACAAAGGACCTTGGGCTTAGACTCAGAGGCACACCCAAACTCACTCTTCCTCCATTTACCTTTCGGGAGATAGCCCAAAAGTTTGCAAGAACAGTTAGAATACCACTGAGCTAAATTATATCTCAGACTCCCAGCCAGCTCTATGTTTCTACAAAAACAAAGTCACGTTGTCCAAGGAAAAATTTCACATTCCACCAGAATTAGTGCTTGAAGCTTGTCCACACAGCACGCCTACTCACCAGGATGGGCTTCAGAATGTCCAAGTTGGAAAGAAACACTCGCTCTGCGGCATCCAGTTTCTCCCCTGGCAGGCTGCAGAGCCTGGAAACTTCTTGGTCACCAAGTTGGATCACCTCTTCTAACTTTGATCCACTGCACAGATTGGTCAAACGTAACTGGTAGCCGTGCAAAAACACCTGGAAGCATTTCATGCAAAGAGAGACAAGCAGGACTGGGTTACAAAGATGGGAAGCTGGGTCCCTGAAGCCTTTTGGGTAACTTCACATCGACACAGCTCTGAAGAACGGACACCCCTGAAACAGTCCAATGCAGCAGGTCTCTTTCATGAACTTCCAACTATGTCCAGGCACGATCTGCCAGGACACCGAACACTCGAATGTTGTGTTGGACTCATCGTCCGTCTCCCACTCTCCTGTCCTTGAGAAGGGAAATCCTGAGTCCAAGTCTTTTCTCAAAAGTGGGACACACGATTCAGTGACTAGGACTCTAGAGTGTGAACTCCTGAAACCACTTTTATTAGAGAAAAACATTCTCATTATTTTAGAACTTATAATATGTTCAACAGGGGTTGGGCTGAATTATAGAAAAAGAAGCATTTATTCCATTTATTTGTAGGTACAGATAATTAACGGATGCAAAGAACTATTCATGCAATTTCAGAATTTGGAACTCTTCGTGTTACTTGCCCGGGAGCGGAGTACCAGCAAGCCAAGCTTCTTGTTTCACTGGGACCAGTTCTAAGTCACTCTTATCTGTTCATTATAGCAGACCCCCCTAGAGAACCTCTGCTTGGCCACATTTTTACTTAATTAGCTTTTCTGGGCCTACATACACTGAGCTTCTGGTATGGCCCTGACTGTCCACTAGACAGCAAGTCCAAGAAGAGGAGGGGCCTTGCTTTTCCTGCTCACTTTGGGTCCCTAACGCTGGAACATTACCAACAGTAAAGTTTGTGGAATAATGAATGGATGATGCAGACTCTTTCTTACTCCATTACTACCTCCCCCGTTCATTTAAATCAGTGCAGCTTGACCTGCTTGTAGTACAACCTATTGTGAGTGGTGAACCTCAAGCTTCACAAAACCCATGCAGCTTTCTGATGCTGCAGAGCACTTGGCCTGCCACGGTCTCCACTACGTTTTCACCGACTACCAGGTACCCAAGCGCACTCCAGTCTGACTCCTTTCTCTAACTGTCCTTGCCTTCAGGCTGCCGGCCTCCCTTTCGTGTCTGTGGTTAAGAGTTCAGGCTACATGGAGAATCTATCGCCGCTCAAGGGCCGCCTCCATACTTAGCATACCCCCCATTTTTAACTGATCGGACGTGACATGACAGATATGAAACTGGCAGGGGGCAGTGGAAATCATGCTAAATGCAGCTATTTTCACAGGCCTGCTCCCTTTGGCCCACCTCCCGACCACACAATTGCTAAACACAAGGCATATTTTCCTAGTTTCATCAGGGCAAGCGGTAAGCACATTTTTCTGATTTTAAGAGTTCGACGGCATGTGCAGCAAAGATCTTGTTTTCAGGCATAAACATTTGCACTGCTTCTGCTTATTGTAAAGACAAGCTAGTATGCAGGCATGAGACTGGGTGAGGAAGCAGTTCCCCTTTCTGCCAGAGAATAAACACAGGAAGCCTCTCTGAAAATCAATAACCATGCAAGGGGGTCTCCTACCCGCTCCACGGGAGCTGACTACCTAGTGATGCCCGAGGAAGGTTTCCAGGAATGGAAGGTTAAAAATCTATATAAACACTAACATTACTTCCTGGTTATATAAATTAAGAAAGAAAAAATAAACATTTTCTCCTTACATATCTTTCTTTAAAGGAAGCATTAAGTTTTTAAAAATCTGCTGACAGAGCTGCTCCAGATCAATAATCCTCAACCCTGCTTATTGTCTCGGAACTGTGACATTTCAACGAAAATGCTTAATTCATCTTAACTTAAAGTCATCCCCCTTTTAGGAGGAAGTTAGCAACAAATGCCAATTGACAGGCAGGAAATCAGCTTTATTTCAACCAGCTGGCCCCTGACGGCAGGTTGCAGGTTCCACTTTCTGAACGGCTTGGCAGCGCCAGCCAGCCTGCACAGGGAAGTAAGAATAGGTGAACTTGAGCTAATGCCCTCCTTCAGCGCCATGAGGAGGACAGGGGCTTATTCGTTTCTCTCCAGGCTCCCTCGAACAATGCCATGGCCATTAGCCCCACCAAGGCAGCCCCGGGTGGCAGCTTACCTGGCGAAGGCTGACATCGGCCCCCAGCATTCTGTCTACAGTAGGCCTTGGCAGAGAGAGGTTGTGATTCAGGAATCCAGAGAAGGTTTCATTGTCCACCAGGAAGTCCCGCAGCGTCAAACCTGCAGGGAAATAGTGTTTTATTTTCATTTAATACGTAATTCCAAAAAAAAAAAAATGTCAGCACAATGGGGTGAGTGGAGAAAACCTCGTTTTAAACCGATAGACAACCACAGGCTTCTGGCGTAAGCTCACAGAGTGAGGTTCGGGAGCTTCGCCGTAAGGGAGGGACACAATGAGGTTGCTTTCTGAAGACGTGGGGAGCCACACTCAGCATGCGCACTTGGGCTCAACAGTACTGTGCGCACATGCACAGCCTGCCCTGGCTTTCCAAGGAAACGACAAAGCTTTCAAAGGCTCTCACCCATCCCACCTGAGATCTGTGGCACTAACCCCTCTGCTCCTGCCTCCCCCCTGCATCTCAGATTGCTCAAATCAGAGGTATTTAAAGTCGTATTTCTTCAAGCCCCGGGGCTGCTTTCTTCGTAAAAGGGCAGCGGTTCTCCGGCTTGAGAATCACTTGCAGGGCCTATTGACAAAGCTTGCTGGTCCCATCCCCAGAGTTCCTGATTCAGGGGCCTGGGAGGAGGCTGGAGAATGTGCTTTTCTAACAAGTTTCCGGCTGACGCTGATGCTGTGGGGCCAGGGCACCCACTTTGAGGACCACGGCGGTGGAGCACTACTCATATCAAAGTGCTTCCACCGACATCGTCTCAGTCGGTGGACACGTGATACGGAGCTCCAAAACCCAGGTCTGCGGCACTTTAAGGAAACACCTAACTGTATATTAAAAAATCGCCTGTAGTAACGATTGGATGGCTGCAGGATTTCATACAGAACCCCTTTAAAAAATAAGCCCTCCAGGTGCATTAGAAAATGCTCCGATCCAGTGTCGTGAAGCAGGAAGAGCGCTGGCCGGAAAGGCAGAATGTTAGTCCCCGGGTTGGAGGCTGTACACACGGTGCCTCTTGGGAATTTCAGGTCATCTTCCTGAACCTCAGCTTCATCTCCAAACTGAGGTTTCTGACCAGATACTAGGCAGGGGCCCCCGACTCTAAAATACCATCATTTTCCCTGCCCTATTTCATTTGACTGTCCACTTCTTCTCCTTCTGCTCACTCTCTTAATAACTCAGCTTCTTCCAATATAGAGAAAGCCAGCTGATTGTGAGCACGTGGTGGGCAGTCATCGCCTGCAGACTGTAGCCCACCCACGGGCCCCGGCACTGCCCGACATCTAAGGGCAAACCCTGCAAACCAAGTCACTTAACTGAGGAGACACATGTTAGATCTGAAAACCCCCTGCGGTCTGAGGCTTAAAGAGGACAGGAGCTGCACCTGGGAGTGAGGGCATGTGCGGGGACGCAGTGGGAGGGCCCAGCAGCCCAGCCAGATCTCATCAGTGCTGTCGGACCCGTGTGTTTGCTTACGCCAGTGGTTCTCAACCTTGGCTGCACATTAGAATCACCTGGGAATCTTGTTAAAATCCTGATTTCTGGGCCTCATCATTAGTAACAAAAAAAAAAACACAGAATTTCCGGAGGATGAGGCCCAGAAATCAGGATTTTAACAAGATTCCCAGGTGATTCTAATGTGCAGCCAAGGTTGAGAACCACTGGCTTACACAAACTTGAGGAATGCACGTTATAAAAAGGAATTTAGCACAGGTCCCATCTCTAGAGAAGTGAGTCTCTGGCTACATCTAGTTACTCCTCATGTTCTTGCCCAGTTAGTGTCCTCCTCGGAATAGGGATACCTGTAGACGGCCACCTGCGTGGGGCTCACCATCATGTATGACATGATACTGTTACCGCAGGCTCACCTCTGTGGTTGTCAAATCTCAGAGCACCTGAGCTCCACTTAGGGAGCGTGCTGCTGAAAGGCAGCTGCTTGAGCCCACTCCCCACAGATTCTGGAAGAGTGGCTCTAAAATGGGGCCTAAAAATCCGTAATTTAATAAGTACCCCTTCGACTCTGTGCAGGGGTCCTGGGAACTGGACTTCTAGAAATGGTGTTTTATTTGTATGCCAAATCCACTAGACCAGTGGTCGGCAAACTCAGTCAACAAAGCCAAATATCAACAGTACACGAATGAAATTTCTTTTGAGAGCCAAATTTTTTAAACTTAAACTATATAAGTAGGTACACTGTTATTAACTTAATTAGGGTACTCCTAAGGCTTAGGAAGAGCCACACTCAAGGGGCCAAAGAGCTGCATGTGGCTCGCGAGCCAGTTTGCCGACCACGACTCTATACTATGCCTCTGGGACACACAATATGTGTCTTATCTCTGCGTCACAGTGCCCAGATCAGGGCCTGCAGAAGAATTACTGGTCAGGGAATGATGGCTGAACAATGAATATTTGGAGATGTGATTAGGACTAGGAAGGTTCCAGAAGTATCTGGGCAGCATCACAGGAGACTTCCTTTCAGCTGAGCAGGTCCAAGAAGGGCCCCGCGGTGCCAGGATGACACTCCCCGGCCACATGCCAGGAGTAAACAGGATCCCCAGAATCACACTCCCAGGGACACACTGTGACATCAGGGGTGTCCCGGCGTCCCTGTGGGAGGGGTACACAGGAAGAGATGTAGGAACACTGGTGGCTTCGCCTGGGGCGTGGCATGGGAGCCAGACACTGAGCACTGTGGGACAAAGGGAAAAGCTCCACGCTGGGTCAGACCTCTCTGAGCCCTGGACAGGACAGAACACACACACGGGCTGACTGTCACTGACCAGTCACGTGGACAGTGTGCTGGGGAATTCAGAACAGCCTCCTCTCTCCCGAGCAGGGCGGCTGAGCATGGGAGGCCGACCCTGGCTGCACTTGCACCGGGTCTAGGTCACGAGCAACACTCTCCAGACCAGCGAGTGGGCTCAGCGTGTTTATAAGACTCTTCTGCTATGTCAACAGGCTCTGAGGATGAGAGCAGCTGGGTGTGATCAAACTCCAACCGCCTATCAGTGAATCCCCTGGATGAGACATGAGAACCAAGAAGCTGATGAAACAGTCAGCGCAACCCTCTGGCAGGGCATGTGCAGAGGGGTGAGGTCACTGGGTGGGGAAGCAGCAAGGAGGCCCAGACTCCTGGTCACAAAGAATCTGCATTCTGGTCACATGGATACCACACATGTGGACACTTACAGTCACACAGCACCAACAGCAGCTGCAGCCGGCGTGGACATGGAAAGGCAGCGTGATGTGGCGCACCGGTTCTCAACCTTGGCTCCCATTAGAGTCACATGGGGAGCTTTACAAAACTCCCAGTGCCCGGGCCACACCCCCCAACCACTAATCAGAACTGGGGCTAAGTCCCGGGCATCGGAATTTTATAAACTCCCCCAGGTGATTCTGGACAAGGTTGAGAAACAATGGCATAGTAGAAATTAGGATGAGAAGGAAGAGGAAGGAATGTGACATGTGTGAGGCCAGAGGGATGGCTTTGTATCTCTGGTCTCAGTTCTCTCCCTTATGTGGCCGGCAGGAAAATGAGTGGAGAAGCCAAGAATATTGAGAAAGCCAGATGTCTGAAACAGTCCTTCTCCTCTCAGCCCAGCAGACGCCTAACCCTTCTTTATGACTTGAGCCATGATTCATCCCTCCAGGAAGCCTGCCCTGACTTCCCCACCCACAGCTGGGTTAGATGGCCTTCCTCTGTGGCATCTTATCTTTCCCTCGAGCACCATACAGATCAAAGTGCAGGTGTCTGCGCACACACCTCTCTCCCCAAGGAATGGAAGTGCCCTGAGGGCCAGGACTCTCTCCTGGCATGCAGCCATGCCTGGCACAGAGGAGGCACTCAGTACCTAGTGGGTGTGTGAAGAAATGAATGAACACAAATGAGTGAATTAACCAATGAACTGAGATGATCTGGAAAACAGCCCATCGTGGAGAAGGAAGTTCACCTCGTGGAGGTTAGGGAAGAGTGGAACAGGACGTGAAGCTGAAACCAACCAGCTCAGGGCAGCACCAGTGTCTCTGAGCCAACTCAGCTGCATCTGCCCAGGTCATGAAGACAGTTGGGTGGTGGAAGCTGGAAGCAGGGAGTGGGGAGATGTCAACAGAACCCACGGGGTCGACAATGGCATTTACCTCACTGGGCTGAGCTGGGGGTTAAATGAGAAAATATAGCTAAAGTCCCAGGATAATGCCAGGCACTGAGAAAGGTACTCAATACGGCTACTATCATCATCACCTTCAGGAAAGGCTGGTTGCATTAGCTTCATTGGTAATGTGTAAGTGTGTGTGTGTGTGTGTGTGTGTGTGTGTGTGTGTGTGTGTGTGTGTGTCTATGTTATGTATTTGCCTGGCTGAATTCCTGAGTTGGACAGAATTGTTGAATTATTTCTGCTGATACTGTCTATGAGATAAAGGTTGAAGCTGCCTGATATGTCTATTCAGAACTTGACTGAGGAATTTTAAAATCTAGCATTTTACAGAGAATCAACAGGAAAGATCACATCTACGAGGTCACTACAAGGGTTAGCGTAGGTGTAAGATGACTGATAAGAAAGACCAGTTATTAGAGGCAAGACAGGGAACATTTAGTGAAAAAGGCAGACGCTTAGCCATTTAACTTGGCCCAAATTAGTTGGCGTGACCTCAGTTCTCTGATCTGTGAAAGGTGGGATAAGAAGATGACTTTGGAGGTTTTCTCATTGGTGATGTTGAAAGGTACTTTTGGGGTAAAATGAAGCCAGCACTGGATGTAATGTCAGAAGATCTGAATCCGAGTCCTAGCTCTGCTGCTCCTTGACTGCGTAACCATGAACCTCACTTTTTCCCTCTGAATCTCTCTGGGCCTCAGTTTCCCTAAACATAAAATGGGACCATTAACACTCACAGGCTGTTGTGAAAACCAAGATCAAGAAAGTGAAAGTAGTCTTTCATAGGGAAAGAGCTAAGGAACCTCAGTTTTCCACAGGTGCCTGAGAGGGTCTGAATGCTGTCCCAGAGCACGGCCGCCAGGGAGCTGGGCCTGCGGTCACTGAAGTGTGAGCCCCTGCTGCCTGCAGAGAAGACTGAACCTCCCTCTCCAGCAAAAGGCCAGGAGAGCTTTCCTGC